GTTAACTTTACAAAAAATATGACTAGAAACCTTAAAGAGGTGGGAAGGAAAAAAAACAAGCACAGGATCAATCAAATATATCAATCTAAGTCTTTATTAGTGAGCACCAGAACAACAAATAAGATCCTAAAGGCCAGAATAACAAGAAAGATCCTAGAAACCAGTAATTCCCTGTGGAAGTCATGAGACTGACTCATCATCAATCAGCAGGTCCTTTACAGCACATCACTTTCATCACAGCTTTTAACAAGAGCATCAAAAGTGGTATTTTCCCTGATGACTGGCTATGAAGCTACCTCAGGCCCATTCCTAAGCCTGGAAAATATCACAAAAAAGCAAACAGCTATAGAACCATCACACCTCAGAACACTGTAAGTAAACTGATCGGAAAACTGATCGTGACCAGAAAGCTGGCCTAACATTCAGAGTCAACTGGTCTTTTGGCAACTACACTATGTGGGTACTGCCCAGCCAGAGATACCTGGTGTAATGCTGCAGTATTTGCTTATGACAGATATGAGGGCTTCCAGTCAGGAATGGAAACCACTGCTGCCACCACTGACTTAGAAGACATGTACAACAGTGTTCCATACAACATGCTCATTGGATTGATTTGGATATGCACATAAAGATGTTTAATGTACTTGTCCGAGGATCACCAATGTCTTCTTTTCTCTTTAATTTGTACACATCCTCAGACATCAGTGAACAGATAGTCTGGGCAGAAAAATGTCTTTTACAGATGACATCCGTGTGTACCGATAAGGAAACAGCAGGGGTGAAATTACAACAATGCTACAGCATAAATTAGACCAACTCACTGAGTGCTGATAGAAATCAGGTGCACAGGTAAACTTGGCAAAGGTCTCCTTAACATGGTTCTCCTTGAATCCCCACATTGTCAGTATATCTACACCAGTTGTGAGCATGTGCAGTATAGACATCAAGGTATTGGCCAGTGTGATATGTTTTTGCTCTTGAAACCTCAGTGGCGCTCTTTATTAGAAACACTTATAAATCATGTTGAGCTTTTGAGGTTCGTTGATGCAGATATCACCTGCTTCCATTCATCTCTGTGTTTAGCTTTCTGTTTCCATTTGGTGATCCCAAGTGTAGTAGGTAGATTTGCAAACACTCAACTGTTTTCATTATCTGTCCATTCAACTCTTATGTGTACGCAGTCTTTGTCTCTCTCTTTTATCACCATTCTCTGTATACATCCCACATGTTTACAATATATGAAAACATATTTAGTAGAAGACACATCACACTTTGATTGCAGAGTGGCCTATACAAATGTTAAGGTATTATATGCCTAATATTCTTTTTTGTTTTGTTTTTGTTTTTCAAAGAAAAATAATCCAGAACTGAAAAGCATTATTCAGAGATGTAATTTACCTGACAAATGGTGGCGTTCATCAGTATCAACATGTGTCATGTTACACAGCTGCTGCAACAGAAGTGGGTATTTCAAAATTCTTTGTATGGGTTTGATGAGATAGGATTCCAGTGTGGCTGAGTGCTGTTGCTTGGGATTTCTAGCCCGCAGAAATTCACGCAAAGCCTCGTTGGCATCTGAAAATTAATTGAGAAAATCCATCAACAGTGTGGTTAGTGTACAAAATAATAAATTCCAGTTATTAAAAAAATGTGGTTGAAAACATTATAACTTATATTCTGATGGAATCTATTTTAAGGAAAACAAGAATAGACCTACTGTCTACCCAAAAACATGTCATAAGAGTAGACTAATTGGAAGCTTCCTTTGAAGAGTGTGCATCTGCATGAGAGGTAAGGAACCAACAGTCTGCATGCAAATAAGCAGATCTCTATAGTGGATGCATACACAACACTCAGGTTCTGGAACAGGACTAAATTCCAAAAAAAGGCAGAACTTTCAGCAAAAATATACAGCTAGTGAAGAAGAATTATTATTTGAAAATCTTGTGAATGATTAAGGATTATACATTAAAGTGAATAAATATTTTTAAATGTTCAAAAAAAATGTATTATTTTTTATTTGTATTATATGTTTCTCACTCAATAGTCTTTTTATACGATTATAGCTCACAGTTATTTACTACTTACAGACTGTACACCGTGATTGTTACAAACATTTTAAAAAGTAAACATAAAGTATACAAAGTTTAATAATCTATAGTCCTACAATCTGCTACAATGAATGCATTAAAAAGATATACAAAATCTAATATTACAACTAGAAAATCTCTCTCTCTCTTTCTCACTATATTAGTCACTCACACACTCTCTCTCTCTCTCTCTCTCTCTCTCTCTCTCTCTCTCTCTCTATATATATATATATATATATATATATATATATATGTGTGTGTGTGTGTGTGTGTGTGTGTGTGTGTGTGTGTATGTATATATATATGAATCATGATGCAGATGAGTTAAACATGATACCATAAACTGCTAGAGCAATCCCCCCCCCCCCCCCCCCCCCCCCCCCCCAAACCTCTAGGTTGACTAATATAAGAGCTAACATTTCTTGCCTTGAAATTACAACTTATAGTATTTTTTTTTCTACCTACAGTACACAGTTCTCTATATAAGGATCTTTCTTAGATCATTAACTAGATAAAGCAGCAAGCTGAGAAGTTGTTTACCTGGATTAAGAATTTTCTGTGATCGTGAGTGACTGGCGCAAAATGAACTGTAAACTTTGAAATGATTGGCATAGTACAAGAAAGATCCTCCTACCGAAAATAGGACCCTCTGAAATAAACAAATCAAGAAAGTGTTCAAAGCACATAGGTTCTCAACTGTGTCAGTACTAGGCAAATGATTCTTTTACTCCTTTCACAAGCAGCTGCTGCTTGACTCCATGGTGAAGTGGTAAAGCTGTTTGCCTCATGAGAAGGTCACGGGTTCATTTCATGGCTGTGTCGCTCGATTGCAGATGGTCAGCCTTTCCAATTGAAAGATGGGAAATGTAAAACACGCCAATTTGTGACCCTTTGAAAATAAAGAGACTGCGCCATATGGGATAAAACAGGGTACAATTAATGAAATCCACTCCACTTTAAGTTTTAATTCTGAGCTTAAATTTTAACTGGCATTTCTTAAATGGATTATAATCCGGATCATTTTTTTTCTGGGGCAGGCAGTACTGGCACTTTTTTATAGGCATAATTTAAGCGCTAACAGAATAGACACTCTGTGGTGAGTATGGACACCTTTGTTTTTTCTTCTAGGGAAAAAAGCTGATTATAATATCATGATGGACGAAATGAGTTGAAGTAATAACTGGGTTAGAACAGGTTATATTAACTCTTTGAGTCCCAGGGGGTTTAGCATCACAGGCCCAATGGGTAGTAAAAAGAGACTAAAATCAATACATAATGCGTTCATTGGGCTTCTAGGAAAGAACCTATGAACGCATGATGCGTTCCCTGGGACTCAAAGAGTTAAATGCTAAACTGAGTTGATAAACAGAAAGGGTATATTATAAGCTAAACTGAGAACGAGGAGCTGATGAAAACACAACATTTAATAGAACCACAAAAATGCACGGTGCACTGCTTAGTATTAAAGGTGTTGAACATTAAAATGAAACACAATTACCACATTCACTTTTCTCAAACTTCGTTTTCTTCTTGGTTTATATATTATGGTTTTGACATAATTGTGCAGGTTTACAGCAAAGCTATCATATCTGCATCTTTCTGTTGATGCATCCAACTTTTTTAAGAAATTCTTTGGTCAGGTTTAATTCCTGGACCAATTATAGATCAGTCACGCAGACTTCTGAAATTTTTCACAAGCTTAAAAAGGTTCCTCTAATCCCAGAAAGTGGTCTTGGGTTTTGAATTTACATGTTCCTTTAAAAATGTTATAATTAAAACAAAACACATTATAAAATAATTGTTTAGATAATTTAAAAGCTTTACCTGGAAAAAGAAGAAATAAACTGGAAATTAAAGTCGACCTTAATAATGGATAATACCAGTCACTGGAAAACAGAAATAATATGATAGGTTAATGTGGTCTGTTTTACTGAATAATATGCCTGGCTCTCTCGAGTAGTTGGCTAAACCGGATTGCGCGGAGACCGGGTGACGAACTCCTTGTGGTCCGGGTTCAATCCCAGGGAGTAGGCAGGAAAGCCATATTTCTCCCAGATTTATGGTATTTACAATGGAATCAAAGCCGAAAGTTTGCGATATCCATAATACAGAGCCTAAGGGTTAACAACTCATGGATTCTGGATACTAAAAACAAAAAAAACAAAAATACTGAATAATATGAATCTGTACAGACATAGTGGCATATATGTTAGTGCTTTTCCTAACATTACAGTGGTCCAGGTTCAATCCACATCAGTAGTAGGCAGATCAATTTTCTTTAATCAGTATGGTTCTGAAGTTGAGCCAGCCTCATTAAGCATCAAACACAATTTTGATATTTCCTGCCAAGTGTCTAAAGAGAAATGTTGATGAGGAAAAGAAGTTGCATCCCATCTCGTTGTTTCATGACCTAGATTTGTTTACACTTTACACCCTAGTGTATGTTTTTGCACATGGTGTTTTACTCTAGTCGTCCCCATGTGGGATGCAATTTTTCATTATTTGAAGCCCCACCCTGGCTTTTGCCTGGGGCCTTGAATATAGCTGGGCCACAAATGTGGCCCATCTATAAAGGATGAAAGGGGTTTCCAGGACCTCTCCACGGGTGATCCTAATCCGCATGGTGGCACTTTGTGTCACCGGGTGTTTATCGCTTGTGTGATGTCCTAGTGGGGTACAACAAGCAAGTGTATGTTTAACTATTTCAGTCCCAAGCAACAAGTCATACATTCATAGGTTGTTACCCAGAAGCCCAATGAATGCAAGATGCACTAATTATACTTCTCTCCTGACTACCCCCTTTGGCCTCTGATGCTAAACCCCCGGGACCGAAAGAGTTAACTACTGGCTAAACAGCTAAAATTATATACAGTATAAGAAAATGTCAGTAGTGGAGTTATTTAGTCTGACCTTAAAACATGTGACATCACTGGTGGTAAAAAACTCAGGTACAGATTCTACAGCTTCCTCTAGACTGTGCAAGAAACGCTGCTGAAATGCAACTATTTCCTGAATGTTTCCAAAAAGCTGCTCGATTTCTCCTGAAGTAAGGAATGTTTCTTCTTTCAGTGGCTCAAGGTAGCGCTCAGTCAAACATTTCAGATCCTGAATGGTGGAAGATATTATGACAACTTGTGATGGCAAACATACATTTTATGAGAAAAGCATCAGCAAAAGAATTATTCTTAATATGTATATTTGCGTTTTACAGAAAGGTAATTAAAACCGGGTTGCTGCTGCTGTTACTACTGCTGCTGCCACTGCTGTCTCCTATTCATGATCTATTTATAGGCCATGCATTGAGCCAGTGATCATAATGTTTGTTCACAGTTACTGTTTCATATACTTCCCAGGTGGGCTCTGGTCCTCACTGTGGGGAGAGCAAGAATACACTCACTAAATGTAAAGGTCCTTTCTCCATGCCTTTAGACGTGTTGGGGAATATAGGGCTAGACCTATATTTTATAGACCAATCAGCACTCAATGGGTAATGTGGTCAGCACCACGCCGGCCACCTTTTCTTTCCAGCACAGCACCTGGTACCCACTTGAGGCTGGTTCAACCTAGAAGTCAAGGTCATTTTTAAAAAAAAGTCCGGCTCTCCAATCCGCAGAAGGGCATCTAGCCGCCAACGCCACGGCGACTTCCAGAATAGACTCACTGCCTGTCCAAAAGCATGTCGTAAGAGTCGACTAACTGGGGGCTTCATTTGACAGACAAGAAACCAACAGTCTGCATACAAATGAGTCAGATCTGTGAAACAGATGTACATACAACAGTTAAGTTCTGGAAAAGGACTAGAGTCCAGAAGTGGATGAACAACCAGATCTTCTGATTCAGATTTTCTTCAATGTCACAATTATAAGCTAACATTGCATCTCCTTGATATTCTCTGACCCTCCTCATCTCTATTTTTCTGTCATTTTATAGTTAGTTCCATTATCCCCTTCTCATGACAGGCCCAACAATGTGCATTGTTTTCTTCTGATGTGGGTAATAAGTGTGTTTTCTGAGTTAATTTCTTTCAAAATAGCACTGTTACACTTTTCAATAAAACAAGTAAAACAAATCTGGCTAAAATTTAAAATTTTTTTTAAAAAGACAGAAAAAGCTTTTAAAAAAAGAAAAGGACATACTAAATAAAATCTTAATACACAACACTGCAGCAGAGACATGAGTGTAGATATGTAAGTCATCATCATGTGCCCTGCCAGCTGGCATAGGGGCTCTTGCGTCTCCACAAATCACGATCCCTGGTTGCCTGGAACAGCTCTCTTGATGATATCTCTCCATTCTATTGTTTCAGCCCATCCAGCATCGTTTCTCTTGGTCTGCCTCTACCCCTTTTTCCACTGATCTTTCCAGTTGTCACGATGTTCTCCACTGTCTCTCTTCTAATTATGTGGCCAAAGAACAGTGTTTGTCTCTTTCTTATTGTTGTATATAGAGATCTACTTTCATTAGCTTCTTTCAAGCAATCATTGTTGGTTACTCTGACCGTCCAAAGTATTTGTAACATTCATTTCAGAAACAACATCTCTATTGCTTCAAAATTCTTTTTTATTTGTTCACTGACATTCCAAGATTCACTGCCATACAGCAGAAGAGGTTCTATGTAACATTTTAGCACCTTCTATATGACATTAAATAAGAGTGATTTATTGCATAATAAATTTTTCATTTTCTGAAATGCAGCTTTCGCTTGACCTATCCATTTTCCATCTGATAATATGATTGTTCCCAGATATTTGAATTTAATAATTTTGTTAAGTTTGTTTCCTTTAATTGAGATATCACAACGTAGAGTTATCTTATTTCTTGATATAACCATTACTTCTGTTCTCTTAATATTCAATGAAAGTCCTTTCTTATCAATCTCCATCCCCACAATATTCAACAGTTGTTGTAAATCATTTGCACTTCCAGCTATCAAAACTGTATCATCTGCATAACGCAAATTGTTTATATGTTAGTGCAATACACAAAATGGTAAAGGCTTTATAAATGACTGAACATTTTAATGGAGACTATGTGGCCATGCACTCAGAATGGATAAGAAAAGACTCCCCCCATCAAGCCCTCAAAAAAACGCCAGAAGGAGAAGAAAATGGGGAAAACCAAGAAAGACTCAGCATTGAAACATCATCGCGAAAGGCTCAACTATGGGCCCAATGAATACATAATAATTTTATTATTAAGCTGGGATTTGGAAAAGCCAAGGAAAATGAATGGATATGAAATGTTAATTAGTGGGATCTGTGGCAGCATAGTGGCTAGCTGTACACTTGCCAAATGGAAAGTGTTGTTTTTTAGTTGAAAAAAAAATCTCTTTGCCTCCCTGGTTGACCCAGTCTAAAATGGGTACAAGACAATGTCCTGGGAAGTAAAGGTGGCTGCCAATATGTTGGTCATATCTCCTACAGGTGCCAATTAGTTTATTTAAAAAAAAGTCTAGCATCTAGTCTATGCTTGACGGGCCATTGGTGTTAAAAAAAATTGATCCTTAAATGAATACTGCAACCTTGAAGAGAAAGATTTAAAGTCAAGAAAACTTGACATCACTGTAAAAGGCTTGATCCCACATGGTTTTACCCCCCTCCCCTCCCCCCCCCCCCCCCCCCCCCCCACTCCCATGCACAGTGGCTTTAACTTCAACAATAGAAAGCCACCTGCTGACAGCATCACACACACAAAGCACAGATTACTTTCATTCAGAAGCAGGTTTTTATGACCGAGTGCTTGCATCTAACATCTGCCATGTGCATTGACCTTTGCTACATAATTTTGGTGGTACGGATATGTCTTTCTTGTAAAAATGTGTTTTTCAAATGGGAAAATAAGGACATTTCAAATGATTTTCACTAGTACAGAAAAAGAGCAGTTATGGGGTGACCTGTCTGCATCAAAGTTGGAATATCAACTAGTAACAATTTCCATAGCTACAGCATAAAAAGCAAGACATTTTAGCCACAAAGTTTTGGTCAATGAATATTGCATGAATCCTCAAAAAGAAAACAGAAATAATTCAAATGATCTGTCCAGCTATGTAGCATTATTTTAGGTTAACAGGAGGATATGCACATAAAACAAAAAAAACACAAACTATGATTTTTCAAAAGATGAAGAATATCTTTTGTGATAGATCCCTTTTACTAAATTAGTTAGTTAGTTAGTTGGGTTATCATCATTGCACTTCGGACATGTCCATAGGTGCTCAGATCCTCCCCTCAGGATGAACCCCAACGTCTGATGGCTAATAGTACCAGTTCTATGTTGATTAACAAGTCTTCTGGTGTGTCTGGTGTGCGTCTAGTTTTTTGCTATGCCGATCTTAATTCCCAAGTCTGCCATTCTGGTGAGTGATGTGGATTCACTGTCCCCAAAGTCCTCTATCCTTCCCATTTCTCTGAGGGCATTAATAATATCAGCATGATCCATAGGCTGACCATCGGTAGTGATAGCAGATCCAGCCAAACTATCAGCTTTTTCATTTCCATCAACGCCTGTGTGTTCCGTGGGGAAAAAAAAGGTGATTCCACGCACAGTGGACTTCTGTAATGATTCAAGCCAATGTCTTCAAACTGAACCTGCCTGAACCCTCTGGATCATACTCATTGAATCACTGAGTATACATACGCGGATTTAGTTTTGTGTTTCGAGCCAGTCGAACGCTTGCGTCACTGCCATCATCTCCATCGTCATGCTGCTGGTTGCCATGAAGAAGGTGCCGTTGGCTTCTTTGACTGTTCTGCCCACTGAGAGTGCTGTGAATACAAATGCACTTCTTTTTTGGTGTATAACGGATCCATCTGGGTAGATTAGGGAATCTGCTTTGTCTGAATTTTCACTGATGAGAACGTGGGACCTCTGCATTAACAGCAACAGGATTCTCTTCTCTACATCGCCTGTTGAGTGTGGCAATACAGGAAAATGTACAAATAAACGCATGAGGCACAGGTATCCACTCTGCACCAGGGATGATATCTATTAGGCTGCATATTTGCCTAATAACATCTTCTGCCTGACCTAACCATGATTTTTCCCTCTTCAGTCTGTCGCCCTTTACACTAAAAAGCGCTTGATGCAGTTGCGGTTTCTTATCAGCACATATTTGAAGGTATGCCCGAGCCCAGCAGATCCTGATCCTTTGGTTCATATTTGGAAAGTCAAGTCTCTTGTACATCCCAAAATAATGCGCATGGCTTCATTTTGCACCTTTTCGAGTCGTTCAATCTGGGTAGCACTGACAGTGAGGATGGCCAGAGCGTATTCAATGGGGGAAAGGACCAGACCGTAGAATAGAAGTATTAGTAGTCGTTGCTCGATATTGGAAGCAGCCATAATCCTCATTGCAGATAGACCTTTGTGTGCTTTTGTTATCACATGGTCAACATGTTCCCTGAATGACAAGCTGCGATCAAACCTCACCACGAGAAACGTCATAACGTTGGTTCTGATCAATACTTTATCCCGCATTTTCACTTCTGGTAAGTCTGACTTGACAATGTGATTGTTCAAAGAGAACCATGACACTGATGCCTTCGAAAGACTGACATAGGCATTGGAACCATCACACCAGGCGGCAATTCGATCCTATCTATCATGCCCTCGTTGATAAATCAAAATGTCATCAGCAAATGACAAAGTCCTTCCCTTTCCATTCAACTGCTGCTCAGTGATCATCACCGTATACACGCTGAATAAGACTGGTGATAGCGGTGATCCCTGTGGGAAGCCTGGACATATCGTTTGCGGTTCTGAGGACCAGCTACCACAACTGAGTACTATCTTCCTCTGGAACAGGACCGCAGCAATCCGGAGGATCAGAATAGAATTTACTTCTAGTTTAAGCAGTAATTTCATTAAATATTCATATGGTACTTTATTGTAGGCATCTTTCAAGTCCACCACTGCCGCACATGTCTCTTTTTTAATCTGAAATCCCTTGTAAACATCAAAGGCGAAAACTGCAGCACTGAACCATGTTTCTTTTTTCAACCTGTACCCTCCAAGTGTTGGTGGGAACTTATCGAGTAGTTCCAAGTAGGTAGTCAATCTTCGTGTGACAATTTTCTCCAAAAGTTTGCCAATTGTATTTTGCATTGAGATGATTCTGTAGCCGCAGATCTTTGAGTGGTCTTTTTTCGGCTTCGGTAGTGGGAACAAATAACTGTGGAGCCATTCTTCTTGTATCTGGCCACTCTGGATGCTGATATTTAATTCCTTTGCCACGCTTTTTAAATCAGCATTCGACATCATCAGCATGTCGTCGTATCGGATGCCATCATGGCAGTGCTGCATGATTTCTTGAGGCAAGTTTGTAAGGTATCTGCAGTGATTGTAAAATCAGTGCCTAGCACAGTGTTCTCACACAGCATCAACAGTTTCATCTTAACCCCTTTTCTTGCAGCTTCGTTTGGTCAGTTTGCTCCAAGTAGTGTGCAAGAAGGGTTCTTCCTTTATCACCATCAGTTCTCTGCCATGTCAGGTCTGTACCCTGAAAATCAGGGATATCCCTTGGTCGTGCGGCGCCAAGCATGCTCCGTTGAAAGCACCAGAATGTCACAAGAGATCCCTGCAGCATGCTTTATTTTACTAAATGTCAGAGTGTACTGCAGTGTTTGCTAACTTCACTCTTATTTTTTTTCATTCTTAATCCTTGAAAATGAAGAAAGAAATTACAAATAGTTTGGAGACTGAGGAGAAACTGATCCAGAACACCAAAGATCAAGATCTGTGTAGAGACATGAGAAGGTCATCTGGCTAGGCACACAATCAATGAAAATTAGTTTACTGACAATGTTTTTGATGCCACTTTTGATTATTTTCATCTTTTCACTTTGATATGTTTATTCTTTTTAGCAATCACCAACTGTAAACTCCAATGAAGAAATGTCTTGGCTGTTTGTCCACTTCTGGAACTTTGTCTTGTTCCAAGGCATAAGTTTTATGAGCACATACCTTTAATAGATCTGGCTTATTTGTATGCAGACTGTTGGTTCTGCACCTTTCAGCCAGATTAACTCCAACTTTAAAGGAAATTGCTTTTGACATTGGCTGTCACTTCTTATTCTGAAAGACCCAAAAAAAAAAAAAAAACTTACTTTGACATAAGCTCGTTCTGTCTCTACCAATTCCATGATGGCTTTTCTCATTCTCTGTGCGTCAGAAAGTGGTTTCATTGTGACAGTCCCATCTTCAGATGTCATTTTTAAGACTCCATCCTTCTGGCATATGGCAGTCACCTCTTCAGCACTCTAGGTTGAGATACATGCATTAAAAAATAAAGTACAGCATATGAACATATGGCAAATATATATCTTCTTCAAGTCATTGTTGACACATAGCATTCACAAATGACCTCCTTTGCTGTTCGTCTGTTACATTTCTGTCTATGGTATATCATGTTATTTCACATTCTTTAATTTCCCTTTCTATCCTTCTCCATGTTTCTTTAGGTCACCTACACCTCCCCCACCACCCCCCCCCCCCCCCCCAAACTGCTGTCTGTCAGAAAGCTGTCCTTCCCAAAGTATCATGAAGCATTCTGCAAACATATTCAAGCCATCTCCATCCTTTCTTTTCCTTTGATAACATTTGTCAGTGATAGACATTTTTCTCCCTTTTTGCTTCTTCATTTGGGATCTTGTTTGGCCAGAATCACCTTTTGGCATCTTATTTATATATCCTCCTCCCGCCATGATCATAATTCCTAGGTATTTAAATTCTGGGCTCTCCTTTAAATAACGGTCGCTAGCTGGAAGGCGACGGCCGCTTAGTCAGAGTTCACTCCCTTGGCTGTAGTGCAAATGCGGAGCGGAAAAGTCATGAATCAAAAAATAAAGTGAGGTCGACATGCCTGCTAGAGCTACACCACGCGCTGCGACTGACAGTAGCAACCGCGGTCTTGCGACGCAAGACTCTCGTAGACCACGCGCTGTGACTCACATTAGCGACCGCGTTCTTCCGACGCACGACTTAGTGACCGTAGATGTGAGACCTGCGGATCTGTATGTCGTAATGAGCGATAAGCTTCCGTTGTTTCCGTGATGTGTCACCCTAACCCTACCCCAAACCCTACCCCAAAGCCTAACGCTACCCCTAACCCAAACCCTACCCCAAACCCTACCCCAAAACCTAACCTTACCCCTACCCCTAACCCTAACCTTACCCCAAATCCTAACCCAAACCCTAAGCCTAACCCTAGGATTACAGGCAACTATATCATTTGTTTCGTTCCCTCTTTACCACTCCGTATTTGCACTGCAGCCAAGAGAGTGAACTCTGATTAAGCGGCCGTCGCCTTCCAGCTAGCGACCGTTATTTAAAGGACAGCCAAATTCTGTAACTTCCTCCAGGCATATATTCATGTTGTCAATTGTAATACAATTTTATTTTGTCGAAGTGCTTAATTTGTTGTAATATCTACTCTATAAAGTAGAGCACAACAAATATATTTGCATCAAAAGCTTGTTTCATGTGCCATTATTTCATTATAATTATAATTATTTTCATTTCATTTTCTTAAAATACTTTACAACTTAGTCAGTTAGTCGTTAGTAGTTACGGTTCTGGCATCACAGTAAAAATTACCTTGGCCCATAATTGCTCAACCGCCTTTGCCAGTGATTCCAGTCACAAACTGAGTCAGATAAGCTGGATACTTCAAGTTAATGCCGTAGCTATACAAAGTGTCCTCAGTCAGAAAAACACACATGATTTGATCTGGCAAACCATAAGGTGGATGCCTCCTTAAACACACTACGAGACCACGCGTCATCACTGAAAATTAACTTTATTCGACGAATAAGATGAGTATAGACGAATAGCTTGGCGATGAGTAGATTAAACTATTCCTGACCATTCTCTACATGTCCTTGGCCAAGTTGTAGCCACGGCCAGCAAATAAATAGCAGCTATAGCACACACCTTGTCCCAGGAACACAAGGAAGTAAATACATTACCCATCATCATGTGTCATGTACGAATCTGGAACTTAGTCAATAACCGATAATCACAGCTCATAGTGCCGCCAGGAGCACTAAACTCAGTTGCTCCCTCAGCAAACCAGATTTCCACAATCTTGCAACATCAAAATTGGAGGAGAAGCGACGACAAGAGCGAGCAACATAAGCCAAGTTCTCAACCATCATCTATTCCCTATCAATGTTGGAGCTGGAAGTCTTTACAACTTAATAATATTATAATGAAATATGTAATTAAAACATTCCTGAAATGAGACTGGTTACTTACTTTCAACAGGTCATCAATATGGGCTGGTGAACTGTTTCTTAATATTCTATCTTTTGCCCTTGCTGAACCAGAAGCATCTACTGGACAACCTTAGAAGTGGATAATAATAAATTGGTTTACATTAAATCTTTACTTTTTAAAAATAAATATCATCATCATAAAGTATTTTATCCCTTAGGCTGGTCATGCACATTCATAGTAAATTAAGATCCCTTTTCATGCCTTAAGGGGCATCAGGTATAGGGGAAGAGGACCCATATTTTTACAGACCAATCTGCACTAGGTGGGTAGTGTGGTCAGCGTCACGCAGGCCGTCTTTACTTGCCCAGGACATACATCATGGTACCCATTTTAGGCTGGGTCGACCTGCGATGCCCCATACCATGATAAAAATACACGCAGCCAGCAGTGGGTTTTGATCATGGTATGTTGGAATTTCGAGTCAGACTCGCAACGCCTAAGCCATGGACGCCGCTATGCACATTCATGATCATTCCAAAACATTGTTGCTGTCTAGTGTACTCTCTTTGATTTCATGTAAACTGGGCTAATAAATCTGTAGGTTCTACATTTTATGGCTATTCTAAAAGTGTTAAAATGACACCATAAAATAAGTGAGCAAATGATGATAAAAGTGGTAAAATAACATTAAAGGATAGACAATAAGAGGTGACAGCAGTGTGAAGATAACATAGAGGGATAAATTGACAATTTGTTTCATGAATGGTAAAATAGCTGTGGTAAAATTTATTGGTTGTTGGTGTTTTACTAAGCAATTTACATTCAGTGATTTGTCATAGAAAGAATTAAGCACATACAACATAAGTAAAGTAAAAAGTAAAGATCCCTTTACACGCCCTTAGGCGCATCGGGCATTTGGGAAGAGCACCCATATTTTTACAGACCAATCGGCACTCGGTGGGTAATGTGGTCAGCATTACGCCGGCCGTCTTTACTTTCCCGGGACAGCTCATCCTGACATACAACATACACAGCTTAAATTCTGACAAGAGATATTAGCTAACATTCAAGTACAATATGTACTTCTCAGAAAAAGATAAGCACTTAAATCGATCAGGAAACCACCAGCTGCAGCACAAGACGACTATTTTATTATGGACAGATCAGAACAAGTCATTATCCTACGCCTCAGAACAGGTCACAACAGATTACGCAACCACATGTACACAAAATTCAAGATAGGCATATCAGCTATGTGCACATGTAGAAAGGTGCCCCAGACAGCAGATAATTTACTCCAGGACTGCACTGAATTTAACACATTAAGCCAAACCTTTTGGCCAGAAAGAACAACAGTGGAACGTAAACTCTATGGACCACTGAATGAACTAACAACGACAGTGAAATTTATACAAGAGACAAAATTGCTAATATAGACAACTTATTTCAGGCGAACGAAAGAAGAAGAAGATAAGCACTTAAATGTTCAACTTTACGAATAAAAAGCAAGTGAACAACATAATTACAAAATATCTTTACCAGGTGCAGGCACTATTAAATTTCCTATTGACTTCTCGGACAGCCGGGACTGATGTGGAGGTGGCGGAACCACCATTTTATCAATGTAAGCATCAGTGTGCCTTTGGATGAAGTTGGAGCGGGGTGGCTGGGTGCGCATACTTCGTACAGTCAAAAACAATGTCCTGGATTCATGTAGTAGGGTCTCAATATAAACCATGTCCAGCTCTGAGACAATCTTGCCATTAATAACCATGATTTCATCTCCAACAATCAAACCTGTTGAATAAGAAGTAGAGAGAATTAAGCACTGAATGTTTGTAGTTTTCATTTACTGTTTTATTGTTTCATTATTTGACATCACCCATCTTGTGCCGATTGGTCTATAAAAATATAGGACTAGCCCTATATGCCCTATACGCCTGATGGTGTGGAAAAGGGTCCTTTGCTTTTACTTTTTACTTTATTTCCTTATATGTCACATAGGGCTCACAGTCTATTTCTCCATTCCATTCTATCCTGTGCAGTCACCTGGGTATCATGGCTGGAACACATTTGGCTTCTCTCATCAGTGTTTATCTTAGGGTTTCTTTTGGATGTATGTTTCTAGTTCATCAACATCATCATGTAGCAGGTCCTTTGCAGAACGTCGCTCTCATTGCGGTTTGCCAGAAAGAAACTCGGTCTCTCGCCAGCTTTCCCGCCTCATGTATTTTCATACTCAAGGAGTCACTTATATCCTGTGCCCATCTTCATGTTGTTTGGCTCCTGCCCCTCCTTCCTGGTACCATGACTTCTGCTTTTATTTTTTCCAATTCGTCGTGGCGCTTGGTATGACCACCTCCTGAGACAGGATGCTGTTTATTAGCCAGTCTTCCTTGATGTTCAGATCTTTCAAGATGTCAGTATTTCTCCTCTTCTTTGTCCAATATATCCTGATAATCTTTCTATAGAATTTCAGCTAAAAAGCCCCTATTCTATGTTTCCAGTTACTTATATTTAATATTTATAGACCTGAGAATCCTCTTTATTGCCCCAGGTTTTATTCAGTATGGCTCAATCACCATCTGCAGAATGGCAAGCTGCATGCTGAGAGCATCTTACAGAACATGATGAACTCTGTAGCTTCAGTGATAGTCTCCAAAGATCTCTGTAAAGACTGCATTTGTGTATTGAATGACACAGTCTCTGAAATGATCCCCTGATCTTTAGAGCCAGTGCCATCATAAAGCAATGGCCCGCTGGGCACTTGTCTAAAAGGATGGTGGGGGGGGGGGGGGGGGGATGTCCCACCAGCCTAGTGGCCTCAAGCAAATCTGTTATGTTAAGTGTCTTGCCATGAATAAAAAATATATTTGTCACAAAGGCCCAGCACATGGGTTTGCCTTAATGCTGTTAATGTTAAGACAACTCTGTTCAGAGCACAAGGTAAATAAATGGTTTCACCACTTAGCCACTGAGAGCCCTGTACTTATACCTAGTACTATATGAACCCACATTTTAAATATAGTATTAAATGAACACACATTCTGTATCTACTACTATATGAACACACATTCTGTGGGGAAGTCAAGAATCTCAGCTTAACTGTTTTTCTTTATATATATATATATTGAGATTGATGGTGTTTCTCTAAAGTCAGCACGCAACAATCTTCAGATTCCTCGCAGAACTTAACAAGCTGAAATATCACTTGCTTAATAAACTAAAGATCAAAGACAATGATGAATGCTTTTTCTTCTTCACTGGCTGTAAACTCTGACAGAAAGTTCTGCTTGTTCATTAATTTCTAGACTTTGATCTTGTTCCAGGACTTTAGTTTTGTGTGAACATATGTATTTCAAATCTGGTTTATTTGTATGCAGACTGTTGGTTTCTTGCCTCTCATGCAGATGCAGTCCTGGCTTTGAGAGAAATGTCAGTTCTGTCTATAATGGCGAGATCCCTGGTTAGCAATCTGTTTCTAGGATGACCATAAAGAGGTGTAGATAGGTCTTGGCCAGTATGAGCCCTGGTAAATCGGTCTTGGCCAGTATGAGCCCTGGTAGATCGGTCTTGGCCAGTATGAGCCCTGATAGATCGGTCTTGGCCAGTATGAGCCCTGATAGATCGGTCTTGGCCAGTATGAGCCCTGGTAGATAGGTCTTGGCCAGTATGAGCCCTGGTAGATCGGTCTTGGCCAGTATGAGCCCTGGTAGATAGGTCTTGACCGATAAGAGCCCTGGTAGATAGGCTTTGACCGGAATGAGCCCTTGTAGATAGGCCTAGACCTGTATATCTTGACCGATAAGAGCCCTGGTAAATAAGTCTTGACCGACACGAGCCCTGCTAGATAGGTCTCGACCGATAAGAGCCCTGGTAGAAAGGTCTTGACCGATAAGAGCCCTGGTAGATAGGTCATTACCGATAAGAGCCCTGGTAGATAGGCTTTGACCGGAACGAGCCCTTGTAGATATCTCTTGACCGGTACGAGCCCTGGTGGATGGGTCTTGACCGGTATGAGCCCTGGTAGACATGTCTTGACCATTATGAGCCCTGGTAGACATGTCTTGACCATTATGAGCCCTGGTAGACATGTCTTGACCATTATGAGCCCTGGTAGACATGTCTTGACCAGTATGAGCCCTGGTATATAGGTCTTGACCGGTATGAGCCCTGGTAGACATGTCTTGACCATTACGAGCCCTGGTAAAACTGCATCACCACATGTTCTTCAGCACCTCTGCGTCTCATGATGAATGCAGATGAGGAATTGTGAAAATGATAGAAGAACATTTATTGTAAGAGTCCAACATTTGCAGAAATAGCACATTATTCTGGTCGACACCTGCACTTTCTAAGGACACACTCTAGGGAGATGTCAACAGCCTTCAATTTGCCACTGCTTTCCTTAATTATATTCAGGCTGACAACAAAAAAGTAAAGAATATGAGCACAGAACAAGTGCTTATGTTGAGTTGAGTTGTGTTAAATAGTGATATCAGAGCATTTGGAACATTCTTATAAGCATTCTGCCCCATTTTCAACAGCTAATGCAGAGTTCCAACACGTGTTTATGCTATAGACAAAACAAATACATGTGCTGACCACCAGAATTACTCTTTCTAGTGGTTAAATGTCATAATATTACATCAGTTGGGTATGTCATGATACTCCCTCAAAAGGAAATCCTCTGGAAAATAGGTGAGGGCAAATGGAGAAGAGAACATTGTGCATGAATAACATAAGCGAGCTAACAGGATATAGTATTCCCAGATCTGTGTGAATTGCTAAGGATAGACAGCGGTGGGGGACTCTAGTTATTGATTTTGGTTCTTAAAGTCTTCACTTTTTCACAAGGAAATAAATTTGAAAATTTGATGACAACCAGTAAGATTGATAGAAAATGAAAAGGGGAAGGCACAGAAATAAATAAGTACCCTGGAAGGTTTGGCCTGTCAAATGGATGGGTCTGGTCAAGGCTCTGTGACCTGATCTGTGTTGTTGGTAATAGTGTCAAAATACAGTCACTGTTTGCTTATTCTTATCAAAGGACAGAATTTACGACTGATAAGGATTAATTTCATTTTTGTGCCAGGACGTGTAGGGGTACAAGGAAATGAGCAAGCTGATACACTTGCAGGTAAGGATACTTTCAAAGCCGGACAAGCCATGGACCAGGCTGATATACTGAATGCTCTAAGAGAGTTAAAACGTTTGCATAAACCAACTGAGAACTGTCAGTCTGCAACCATGGTCAGACTACAAGAACAATATGTTAAACCGGGTGTCACAAAACAAGAACACAATGCGGGTAGTCAAAGAATAATCATAAACCAACACAGAACTGGTGTCTTTAGCCACTACAAGCTACGGCATTTACTGAGGAGGGGATCCTAGCACTTATGGACTGAGTGGTTCGACGTGCAATGAGGATAATCTGTTGACTAACTAACTAACTCTTATCAAAGGGCACATGATGATGCTGAAAGAGAAATCCATAGCAGTACAGATACAGATTAGGATTCAAATTGAAACAAGCAGTTAAAATCTACCTCTCTTGTCAGCTACACCATCTTTGGTCACATCACACACAAATACTCGAAGCTCATCGTCCCGATCATAATCCTCTGCCAGCTCAGCTTCCACTGCAAACCCAAACATGCCATCTTTGGTTGGCTTTGTCAGTTCCATTTGAAAGATACACTTCTGGCAAACTTCAATAGCATCATACCGCTACAAGAAAGAAACAATCAGAAAGCTTTACACTAATCCACATGGACAATCATTCTGAACATTTACAGTCCCAGAAGCTTTTGTAGTTAATGCCCAGTGAAACAACAAGAAATCAGAAGTCTTCTTGTTCTTCTCCTTCACGTTCACTGGATGTAAACTTTGGTGGGATGTTCTGGTTGCTCATCCACTTCTGGGCTTTGTTCCACAACTTGAGCTTTGTGGACATAACCATTTCACAGATCTGACTTATTTGTATGCAGACTGTTGGTTCCTCACCTCTTGAGCAGATGCATCCCATTTTAAAAAAAACACTCCTAATCAGCCACCTTTTTTTTTAACGACATGTTTATTAAGAGGGAATCGAGTCTATTCCCCACCACCACCACCCCACCCCCTCAAAATGGGATCCTGAATCCCACATGGTGAAACAGTAGAAGAAACCCTAGACATAAAGGACAAAAAAAGAGTGCTGCTACTCGACCACAGATTAACCCTATATTTAGATGACAGGAAAAATGCTGCAGTGCTGGTGGGCTCTTTATTTTTAATTCACCCCAAACACAGAAAATAATAGAATTTCTGGGGAAATCAAATATTCTAGGGGTGCTATGGGTTAGGATCTTTGTCAGCCCTTACTGCTTCAGAGACACTGACTAACCCTACCCCTAACCCTAACTCTAAGCCTAACCCATAACACTCCTGGAATATTTGACTTTCCCAGGAACTCTGACATTTCCTATGTTTGAGGTGAATTAAAAATAAAGTACCTGCTGGTGAATACCAGAACCCATATCAGAACAGTAACATTTTACTTGTCCATATGAACATCATAGCACATGGGTCCAACTCATTTCTGCTCCATATTCTGAGGCAACATCCATATCAGTGTCTCCATGCTCACCATACCCCCAGCAGGAACTGACTGGCACACCTTGGGGTGGGGGTGGAGTTGAGGCAAGACTAGTAGTACACCAGATGACAATGGGTACCATTAGTATGAAGATTCTTTGCTGGCTTTTGAGGAGGGTGACTGAGCTGATATGGGCTAGTACTGAATGCTGTGATCTTGAATCTTTACCCAGATTTTCTCTCTTTGCCCCACAACCGGTTTCTGTACGCTCGTTTAATAGCCATTTCTAACAGGCAGTTAACTGTCTCTGATTCCATTGCCTCAGTAAACCATATATGACCATTCATTATGCCTGCCTTGTCCATACTTCTTCCTCCCTAACCACTGAAGACATGGTCAGTCTGTTAGCTCTTCCATTTCCTTTAATCCCAGTGTTTTTCTTGTGAACAAAATGACTTTTTGAAAGCCATATTAACTCTTTGAGTCCCAGGGGGTTTAGCATCAGAGGCCCAAGGGGCAGTCAGAATAGATGTAAAATCGGCGCATCTTGTGTTCATTGGGCCTCTAGGCCGAAACCTATGAACGTATGATGTGTTCCTTGGGACTCAAAGAGTTAATGTCATAATTTGCCAGTATATTTAGTGTTACCACTCCCATTAGATCACACAGTCATGGTATAAGTCACCCTACACATTTTATAGTCCTGGGGAATGTGGTCCATTTAATGCTTCAGTCTGCTGATGTTTACTGTTTATCCCTTTAATACATTTTGTGCAGAAAAAAAATGTAAGATGTGGATAAATATAATGAAAAATGTAACACTGATTAGTGACCTGTGGTCAAATTGTTTTATTTGAAGGAAATTTGTTGGGAATTAATTTCCAAGGCAAAAGGCAGAAGCAGGCAATGCTGTAGATAAAGTTTAAATGAACTAATGCTCCATAAAATACATTTTAACATCTAAAAGGGTGCCTTCACACAACTTACCAGTTTTTTAATATTCTCATGTTTGTCTGGAATCACAAAGGTATTATCTGTTGACCCTAACGGTTTTATTCGGACATAGTGATCTCTAGGGTTGAGATGTCTTTTACTGCATGTCATTTCCAGAAGATCTTGCACACTTGTTCCCCTGTCCACGCCAATCAACATGGTCTGAAAGTTGTAACACTGAAATATATGCAGAGGAGACACAGAAATTGCTAGAGGAACCTTCACCACGGGGAGAAATGTTTGGAAAAGAAAGTTTTTATACGAAGAAAGAAATATATTTCTTTCTGGTTAAATATTTTTTTGAAAGTTAATTTATTTATGTAGATCACAACCAAATGCCCAGATCCCATATATCATGTCTTGGAACACAGCAATTATATGGAGAAAAAAAAACACCACAGTATAAAAGGTTAAATAAATATAAGGCTACAGGAAATTAAATTTACTTGTGATAACAAAAAAGGTTCGATTTCTTTTTTGGAGTTACAATTCAAAGCATGGAAATACAAATAGCAAATAAAGACATATTTAAGTAACATAAACGTGTTTTAGATATAAAACAGTATGTGTGTCACATATGTAAAGAGAAGGTGATATCATAAATGAGAAATTATAATGCAATTTTCTAATAGCAAGAAAAAAATATTACACACAATAAACATTTAATTTGTTCCAACTGGCTATGAAAACTGATATCATCATCATCATGAGCCTCAGGTTTAACCCTCCATTTAATTCTATTCTGTGCAATTGATTTCATGGATAGAATCCATGACCAGCATGTCTGGACTCTCTCAGCATTTGTCTTAGGGGGTTTCTTGGATGTGGAAAGGTCACTGTTAGTGAGCATACTTTGGATCTTTTCTCCAGGTCATGCCGGCGTAGTGGGTAATGAAAAGGCAGATAGATTGGCTGGATCTGCACCACTAGGTGGCAAATTGATACATGTCAAGGCAAATGTGGTCAAGGCCATTTGGTAACAAGCAACAGAATCAGTAGAGAAACAAGCCTGGAGAGAATGAGGCACTTGGGTGTAACCAGAGGGTCTGGTCGGCTCACAACACTCAGAGGAAAGGCAAGACAGACATACAACCAGATTGTGACCGGTACCATCAGTTCTGAAGATGTGGATCGAGCATGTATGGGAATGCCCTGAGTGCTGTGACATCAATTCTTGACTCAACTCAATGCAACTCAACTCTTGAATGTCCTCATTGTCCCCAGTTCATTCATTTTCCATTTCTGTGCATCTTTAGTTTTTCACAGAGTGTTTCTCCAAATTATGTCAACATACTGCCATCTTCTTCTGCTTAAAAAAACAAAAAATTGTGTAACTAGCTGTTGTCTAGAAAAGTCAACTTATTTTGCACCTTTCTTGAATTAATTTCTTTTCAAGGTAATAACTGATATAATGTATATTATTTTTTTTTTAAAGACAATTCTCTTATTTCTGCGGCTTTTGTGAATTAATCTAATTTAATGCAATAACTGATATACTGTATATTTAAAAACTGGCAAACAAAATTAAATACTTTTTAAAATCAAAAACATGCAATAGAATGGTAAGTCTAAATGTTAACAAATATCTCCTGCTTTCTACCTCCTAACAGAGTATAGGCCCTCAATAAACTCTTGTCAAACCATTTTGATACTTGATCATAATTGGTTAGATATTGCAGCTGATTTCTACAACATGATGTAGCCAACCACACTCCAACTCTTCTTAGCTGCCCTTTATGACATGCATATGGGGAACCCATGGTAGTATGGTGGGCAGATGTTTGTCAGGTGACCCAAAGGTCTTGAGTTCAATTCCACATTGACTTGGATGTTGCTTCTTCTTTTTTTTTCCCAACTATACTGTCTTCTTAGTCAGCCCAGCCAAAAACTGGGCACCAGGTAAGTCCTGGGAAGTGAAGGCAGTTGGTGAAATGTTGACCACATCTAAATATTTGTCTATAATAATATGCTGAGAATTTGTTTCAAACAATACCTTGGCGTCCAGGGCAACCCAGGCCTGGTACTAGGTAAAGTCCTTGCAAGTAAAGGCAGCCAACGTGCTGTTGTGCATATCATTCACAAAATGCTGACTGGTCTATAAAAATATGAGTCCAGCCTCATATGCCCATAATCATAATCATAAATTAGATGTGCTACTGGCATGTAAAGGGATCTTTACTTTCTTAAATATTCATAAACTGGATGTGCTACTGGCATGTAAAGGGATCTTTACTTTTTTAAATAATCATAAACTGGATGTGGTACTGGCATGTAAAGGGATCTTTACTCTTTTTTTAATAATCATAAACTGGATGTGCTACTGACATGTAAAGGGTTCTTTACTTTTTTTTTTAAAATAATAATAAATTGGATCTGCCACTGGCACGTAAAGTGATCTCAACTTTTTTTTTTTTAAATCATAAATTGGATGTGCGTTTGGAATGGAGAGGGATTTTTACATGTTTTTTAAAATCATAAATTGGATGCGCCATTGGCATTAAAAAGGCTCCTTTACTTCCTTTCATATTTGGTTACAGTGTTCGTTGCTCTTGCGGGTCCTGGTGACTGACTGAGGTTTTACCCCACCAGGACATCATACCGAGCAACAAACACCCGATGACACAAAGTGTCACCTTTTGGATGAGGATCACCCGGTGACAGGTCCCAGAAACCCTGTTCAACACACATTTTACCCCACCAGGACATCACACCCAGCGACAAACACTTGGTATCACACAATGCCACCATTTGGATGAGGATCACCCGGGACAGGTCCAAGAAACCCCGTTCGACATATAGGCTGGGTTATATTAGGTCTCCCAGGCAACAGCCAGGGTAGGGGTTTCAAAATCAGACGTGTGCTATGACAGATGGGTTTTGATGACTTAATTAGTGACAAATATTCAAATATTTTATTCACAGAACTGAACACATGCAATATCAAACCAAGCTTTACAGAACACCCAACAAAACTGTTTGCATAGAAATGAGTTTACTTTGTACAGAATAAAAATATATTTAAATTACCTGGTTATTTGGTAAGGTGACTTTAGACAGACTTTCTTGTCCATGATTCATATTTGCTCCTGTTTTTTCAAGAAGATTATCAACAGAATCTGAGTGACTGTGAAGACCTCTCTGCAGGCCACTGTAAAGGGTGAGAACGTTTCAATGTAAATGAATGTGAAAACAATATATATTTAGCTATACATATTGTTGTCACTATGCCACAGTCAAGCAATTTTGGCAATTATGATCTTAAGTGCATTTTGAGGGCTGTTATCTGTCACTTTACAACAGGCCAAAAGCAAAAATTTGAATTCCTACTCTAGATAGTGAACCATTGTGGTGTAGCCACTAAACATTCATCTTGACCTGAGGGTTGTAGGTTCAAATCCACATCGATCCAGATTTTTTTCTTCAAAAATCTCTTTGGCATCTAGGTCGACCCAGACTAAAATGGATACCAGGAAAGTCCTGGAAAGTAAAGGTGACCAGCACTGACCACACAACCCACTAAGTGCCGATAGGTCTATAAAATATAGCTCTAGCCCTATATGCTCAATAAGGATGAAGGCATGGGAAAGGATCCTTTACTTTTACTTTTACTCCAGGTATGTCAAAATGAAGTATTACATTTCATGCAACTACACAATTTGTAAGAGATCTGTAATAAATTATTGCTTCATTTGGAATGAATCGTGGCTTCACTTATAATACTTCTGGTCTACTTGAACTGAACCTTGACGTAGACTTGACATGAACCTTGGTTTACACCGACTTTAACGTCTAGGGTTGACAACACAAACGCCGCTCAGCTACTTGGTACATTCTGTCAGTTTATTCTGGTCCATTTATCTCACATATTCAAACATTATTTACACTTTAGCACTCGCGACATATTCAAACATTAAACATTTGCGCAACATAAAGACGACATCTTCAAATACTACAACCGTCTTCTGTGACTTCTGATGATCGACTGCCCACGAGGCTCGCTCGGGCTTTCCCTCGCTTCCTCGACTAGGCACAAGTATCTCGTGCTGTCCCTTGTTGCACGGACTTTCTGCTTGCCACTATGTAATCGTGAAGACCAATCCTTTCTTTAAACAAGGATAAAGCCCTTAGGTACACTGTGCATTGAAAGATCTTTATCGCACATCAGACATGACCATAATTGCTCCGATCTCCTCCTAAGTATGTCTCTAAGTGTCTTTAGGCTAACAACTCTTATTTTGTTCTGGTTGATATAATGATGAGTGGCCTCCGCGTGGTTTTTCTGTCTCATTTCTCCAGTTGGTACACCCACGACAGTTGGTACACCCACGACAGTTGGTACACCCACGACAATTGGTACACCCACGACAGTTGGTACACCCATGGAATGCAGTCTATTCAGTGTAAAAATTTTTGTACATGAAACTGAAAGCCTCACAGCGTTTAGTCTCTCGTATGACATTGATGACGTCTCTCCTGTCCATAGATGGCCCATTCCTGATAGTTGCACTGCTAATCAGGCTCTATCAAGCACTTAGGTAAATCAGGTGTAGTGCCAACGATAAGTAGTAATATAATTTCAAGAACAAGTATATCTAACATTTATTAGAAAGTATTTTCAATGATTTATCGGTTGGTTTGTGAATGCTTTCTATGGAAGACTGACTTTCAACTAATCAGTCAAATGTATCGAGTAAAGATATGGAGAAGAGTTAAAACACATTTGAGATCAAATGCCTGAGGAAACTGATGAATATTAAATGGGAAGAACTCAAGAAAAGGAGAAAAAAGTAAAAAATCTATCTGCACAATTGCTGGTATCAATAGATAAAAAGAAGATACAAACAAGAGACTGCACGATTTATTGCCTGGGATATTTCAACCATCCTGAGAAGTGAGCAGAGAATGATCAGCTAGGCCCTAAATTTGGAAACAAAAAGAATGAGGAAACAAGGCCTCATAGAGAAATCACAGAGTTTACAATTGGTGATCACAAAGGAAAAAGAAGAAGAAGAAGGATTCCATAAATGATGCTGACAGAATGCTTAGGACTGACACAACATCAAAACCATGTGACAGCAGTTTTCATAAAATGAAGAAGAGCCCTGAAAAGAGTTTGTATCTCTCAGAAGAAACTTGCTTCCCAGTATCAAAACACTGTCTTTGCAGTAACTATGTTGCAGAGCAGTCCTTTCCTTTCCAAAGCTTAGAAACCAATAGAATATAAATGCAAGTCTTTACGATTTGGAAGTCTAACGACCCACGGGGGCCTATAGAAAAAAATTTAATAGGTTTGTGATATCATTTACAGAAAACCTCTCAGCTTTGGAATGCAACCCTTTTTGCAATTCTAATATTTATAAATGATAATAGGTTCTTCAGTATAACATTTTAAAATATGGGGTTCATGCCAGCTGTTTGAAAATAATAAGTGTTTGCAGGCCTTAGCCAGCTGCAAATGTTGAACTGAGAATCAACATCACAGCACTTGGGACATTCCTATAAGTGCTCCTCATCTTCAGCAGCAAGCACAGAGTTCCAGTTTTGATGGCACCAGTCACAGTCTGATTAAATGTCTGTCTTGCCCCTTCCCTAAGTGTTGAGTGTCAGCCAGATCCCCTGGTAACTCCAGGCAGCACAATCTCCCTCAAACCATGATGATTTATTGGTGCAGAATCAGCCAATCTATGAGCATGTTCCTTTCCCAAAACACTGGCATAACTGGAAAAAATATCCAAAGGATACTAACTGGGCCTCCAGACGATGCTTGCCACTCTGCTCTGCACTGAGCATACATGACTCTACCTTTCTCAACATGTTCTGTGAATTGGGAACTACTGGAGTATATGCAATATATAAAACAGACTATAATTAGTTTCCTATCCTTTCCAGGTCTTTACAACCAACCAAGGCAATTTTATGTTCAGGAAAGATTTTCTCAACAGTGCAACACTCATTCCCTTGTCATAATCAATGCAAAGCATTATGCTACAAATCACTTGCAGCTGTCTTTGAACCCTGATATGTTTGGCTTGTTATTAGAATAAAGCAAATAAATTGTGCTAGATTAGGCTCACCCTATTTATACTTGCATCTAGTTTCTCACTGCAAAGAACAGTGGTAGTAGTAATTTAATTGATATTCTGTTCAACCCATCTGGGTTATAAATGGGATATATCTTCTTCTTCTTCTGCGTTCATCCGAAGATGTAATTGCGTTGTGTCCGTTTACAGCATGGCTACTATATCTGCACCTTTTAACCAACACATCCGACTTCTGCAGGCATTTGTTGACCGGGTTAGCTTTCCCGGTGAAAATGGGATATATAAAAATATTTGGTTAAAAAAAATATTTATTGCTTCTTCTTCTTCTTTGCATACGGTTTTGCTTTCTCAGTTCAGATCATCAGGTAGGCAGTCTCTATGAATTTGCGTGTCAGTTGCAGGTCCCTTGTGGCTACCCACAGCCAGCTCTGCACCTAATGCCAGGTTTCTACTTGTACTTGTTAAGTATAGGGGGGCTATGTGGTCTCGAGGCATGCTAGAGGTTCCGGGTTCAATCCCCAGAAAGGGCTGTGATTTTTTTTGACCTGGACTTCTAGTAATTCCCCCTGGTCTCTAAGTAGTGAGATCGGACACCCGTGTGCATTGTTGCGCACATAAAAAATCCCTTGGCAGTTGGAAATCGAAAAGAGTATCATAACAGCGCTGCCCGGGCAAAATTTGGAGTTAAAAATCTACCCAAAGTATTTCAGGGTCCTCGCCGGTGCTACAAAGCATGTGCACTGTTCTGAGCTTCTTTGGAGTCAGACTTGAGTTAGAAGAAGAAAGAAAGAAGCACTTATGGATTCAAAACCTCAAACTTGTTAAGCATAGTGGGCTCAGGTTGGTCAGGTTTTTGTTGTCTCCTCTGACATACACTCTTTGTTAAATGCATGTGGAAGTTGAGCGTACAGTGTTTTGTTTTTAGATGGTAAATTGTTGTATATGGTTTTCCGTTGATAGGGTCTTGTAGATGTTTACTGTTGGTTTATTTTCTCCCCAATTCTATGTATTCCCCCTTGATCAATAATTTAGTTTCTAGTAATGACAATATTTATTTCATAATTGGGTATTTTATGCTTGTTAATTACATTTGCTGATTTAATTGTGCCTCAGATTCTTAACAGAACTGCAGTCCAGAAGTAGACAAACAACCAGAACTTTCCGCTAGAGTTTACAGCTGGTGAATGCAAAAAAGAAGAAGAAGAAGAATTTTGCATACCTCATGTCTTAATTAAGAAAAAAAATATTAATTCATTGTTGTTTATTCCTCACAATTGATTAAAAACACTCAAACATCCCAAAAGTAGTAATAATGATAAGCAGGATAACTGGATAAAAATGAACTGTGCTATGAACTGGATTTAAGTGAGAAAGAGTTGTGCAACACGGTTAATTAACTAAGAACTAAGAAGAGAGTTTTTCGCACCTCTAAAACACTGAATAAAATAATAAATATAAATACAAATTTAAAATAAATATATACTCTGAGAACTCAATTACCACTATATATCCCAATTATAACCCTGGGAGTTGTACAGGATATTTTTTTTAAATTACTACTACTGACCAAAGTGATTATTTAACCGTAAAATTATGAATTGTACATAGAAAGTGTTTACATATAAACAGTACTGTATAAATTATATATTTGTTACAAAAAATATTTAAACAGATATCAGAAGAAGAGTTTGATAAACAGTACTGCATAAATTATATTTAAAGAAAATATTCAAATACATTTGATTTAATACAAATTTAATAGACTTACTCAGAGCTGATGCTTGAACTGACTAAAGCTGTAGGAGTCTGAGATCTAGGTTTCTGCGTAATCTCTGACCTTGGTGATAACATCCCACCTTTGTGACTTGTCCGACCATATATATTCGGTAGAACTAAGGGCTTTCTGGCACTGACTAATGCATGGAATGAAGTCACAGTAAATATACCAAGACGAGCCAGAGTTGTCTTTGATATCTTAGAAGCGTTTGCTAGCAGGACCTGTAAAATACAATTAACCATAATTTGCTTGCTTGTTTAAAAAAGAGGGGGGGGGGGGGGGGGGGGGGGGTTTTAATCATGGTCAATGATGATTTGAAAGCTTTTAGTTATAACTGCAATCTTCATATGGTGCTTCTTGAATTCCCACTGATTATCACTGTTGTGGAAATGCTGACTTGCAGATCTGAAGGTCATGGGTTCAGATCCTGATGGAGCCAGATTATTTTTTTTAATAACCTTGACCCCAAGGTTAACAGCATCACCAAAAGAGTGCTGATTGGTCTATAAAATATAGGGCTAGCACTATATACCCAATGCACCTAAAGATGTGCGAAAAGGTCCTTTACTTACTTAATTTATCTTTTATTTCTATTATCTCGCTATCATGGTTTACCTCCCTAAAACATAATAGTGCAGCAATTGTTTATTTATGCCAAAATGTAGAAAATGAAGACTTCATGCAATATCTGTTGGGACTGAAAGAGTTAAAAGCCATAACAGCGTACTGGCGAGTGCATTTGCTTATGAAGTTAGTAATCTGGTTTAAATCCCCAGCCAGTGTAAGACTGCCCTGTGTAAGATTATTTCAACCAAAATCCTCTCAGTGTGAGATCCTCCAAGTGTACAGTCTGTGTGTCTGTATGTGTATATGTGTGTGTATCAGTGTGTGTGTGTGTTTCTGTGTGTGTGTGTGCGCGTGTGTGTGTGTGAGCATGTGTATTTCTGCATGCATAAGTGTGTTTATGTTCAAGTGTGTCTGTGTGTGCGTGTACATGTGTGCATGTGTGTGTGTGTGCCTGCATGTGTGAGTGTATCTACGTGCAAGTGCTTGTGTGCATGTTGTACATGTATGTGTGTGTGTGTGTATGAATGTGTGTGGGTCTGCATGTGTGTGTAGGTGTGTGCCTGTGTGTTTGTGTGTGTACATGTGTGCATGTGTGTGCATGTGCTGGTGTGTGTGTGTGTCTGTGTGTGTGACCATATGTGTGTGTCTGTATGTCTGTGTGTGTGTCTGTCACTGCGTGTGTATGTCTGTATGTGTATGTCTGTCTGTGTTTGTGTCTGTCTGTATGTATGTGTGATTCTGTCCCTGTGTGTGTGTGTCTGTCTGTCTGTCTGTCTGTCTAACTGTCAAATGTGTTAGATAATGGAAAGATTTATATACACATAAAGAAACTGAAAGGAATTAACTCATTAAGCGGACTGATTGGCAGTGGAAAAAGAAATAATCATCTCTCTTCCAGGACATCATGACAATGGAAAAACTTGCAGTACATTGCAAACACAGAATTGTGGAGGGAAAGAAAGGCATGCAGAGAGAGAGAGAGCACAAGAGCAAGAGAGAGAGAGAGAGAGAGCACAAGAGCAAGAGAGAGAGAGAGAGAGAGAGAGAGAGCGCAAGAGCAAGGGAGAGAGAGAGAGAGAGAGAGAGCGCAAGAGCAAGGGAGAGAGAGAGAGAAAGAGAGAGAGAGAGAGAGAATCATTGATGGTTCTGCATCCTTAAAGGTTAGTTGTGTGATCTTTATGGGGTGTTGCAGAACCAACCCTAGCATTTGATCTAATTTGTGTGTGCCTGTTGTGGCTATTCCAGGCAAATGAACTTTTTGTATTTTGTCAATGCTTTCTGAATGATCAGCTCTCTATACCATTGTTAAAACCAGTGCAAGGCAGTCAGCTGTCAAACTGCCGGCAACTGGGATCAAACCCGGCACCCTGTCATTACGAAGCGCATTCGCAACACCTAAGCCACAGGCACCGACCTTGCATCATAGCATGGAAAAACATCTGTATCATAAATTGTATTATCAGTAGTATACAAGAGAAAAGCTTGTGGGTAGACATGATTACTAATACCCACAGCAAGGGGTATAAGAAGACCAGATGTTCCAATGTGCAACCAACCTTTGGATTTGGTAATTCTGATCCTTGCAATGATGCAGAGTAACACCGAAACCGATACTGGTCAATATACAACTTTTCTAGGTTTTCTTCCCACTGAGCAATCTGTTTCTGGATAGCTTGTTTACTTTTGGGATCAGTAACCACCGACATCTGTAGCTCTGCCATTTTACGCATCTTGCCATCCTTGAAAAAAAAAAATGCCAAATTGATAAATAAATTTATAATTTCAAATATTACATTTTTAAAACGATATACTTCTCACACGCTAGCATATATACAAAATAAGTTGATATGCTTACGTGCCTACGATTGAGAGATACATCAAGGTGACGCTGCTGTTATGAGTGCCCAAATACATTCATTAGCAGGTTCTTTATGGAACTAGCTCCAATTGTGTCATGCCTAAAAGTATCTCTTTATCTAGATAATTCTCCAGCCAATGCATCTTAAGTTGTTTTTTTAAATCCACTTTTAAGGAGGCTGGTATTTATTTTCTCAAGGCCACCATGACATTTAAAAAGGCCAAAGTACCTCAGCTTTCAGGAAAAATATGATTTTAGGGACCGTTATATTATTGTGTCGGGTGTATCTTGTTGTGAAGATGACAATTTTTGTTAATGTACATCCTGTCCAAAACTTGTAACTTTACTCCACTCTCTGATTTACTGGACTTTGTCCACTTCTCTATGTGAGCTTCCTGAGTGAGTGAGTACCATACACATTTAACCTTTCATTTTTAAACAGACAAAATTGAACATAAAGAACATATGTAATTTTTTAATAACTGTTTTGCAGTTCTGCATGTTTCTGACAAACACAACAGTTACAGATTTCACTTTTGAGTTTGATGTAGATTATAAGTCTTTGGCATGTTTATCTAAGCACCAGTACCAAATTTGAAAATTATAACAATGTATTTCGATGAAGTTCTGTCCTCTATTACCAAACTACAATAAACATCTTTAGCCACACAAGAATGATCTTACCATGTCTATGCTTGCTTCCAATTTCTGCAGCTCAGAACACAGAAGTTTTAAAGTGTTGTCCTTGCCATGCTGGCGTGCATAAGATGATGCACATGCTGAATGAATTGCTCGTATCCAGTTCTCAAGGTCATTTTGGGAAGAAGCCTAGAAATCCAAATTTAAAAAAAAAAATTTTTTCAATTCAACATTAACATAAAATAAAAACTGACAATTGTTTTGATGGAGCGTTTGTGGTGTGTGGGGTTGCTCAACTGTAACATACAATAGTCTTGACAAAACAGTAATAATTAGAAACATTTGTTCCCTACCTCCACCATAAAAGTACTCAAGCATAGAAGTTTTTTATGTGGTGTGCAAGTCTAGGGAAAAAAGACTACATTTAGATCTTCTGAACCAAGGCTATTCAAACTGGCGGTCCATGGACCGAATTCATCCCACAGAATTCCTAGCAACTGGTCCACAGATCATTGCAAACTTTATTGCAGCTATGATCTTTCTACACTGGGGCTGCAGCCTCTGGCCCCATGATGATCCCCACTTTCAACATTTTGGCCCTTTGAGTAAGCTTAAGTTTAAGAGCCTTGATCTGAAGAATCAGAATATAGCTTAGATCATTAGTTCACCCATGTGGGTTCTGGGGCCTTATTTTGATGGGGAAAAAACCAGATCCACTGCTTCTTAATAAGCATATCATAAAAGGTCAGTAATTCTAAACATTTTTGCTAAAATCAGATGCGTTGGGCCGAAAGGAACTCAGCATCAGTCAAGTAGTTATATAGTTCTAATTTTTTTCTTGAATCCTTGTGCTCCGTCTAGTTCTTTCATGAGTTCACTTCCCCGTATGGGTCCCTGCTTCATCTAGTTCTTTCATGAGTTCACTTCCCTGTGTGGGACCCTGCTCTATCCAGATCTTTCATGAGTTCACTTCCCTGTGTGGGTCTCTGCTCTATCCAGATCTTTCATGAGTTCACTTCCTCGTGTGGGACCCTGCTCTATCTAGTTCTTTCATGAGTTCACTTCCCTGTGTGGGTCTCTGCTCTATCCAGATCTTTCATGAGTTCACTTCCCTGTGTGGGTCTCTGCTCTATCCAGATCTTTCATGAGTTCACTTCCCTGTGTGGGTCTCTGCTCTATCCAGATCTTTCATGAGTTCACTTCCCTGTGTGGGACCCTGCTCTATCCAGATCTTTCATGAGTTCACTTCCCTGTGTGGGTCTCTGCTCTATCCAGATCTTTCATGAGTTCACTTCCTCGTGTGGGACCCTGCTCTATCTAGTTCTTTCATGAGTTCACTTCCCTGTGTGGGTCTCTGCTCTATCCAGATCTTTCATGAGTTCACTTCCCTGTGTGGGTCTCTGCTCTATCCAGATCTTTCATGAGTTCACTTCCCTGTGTGGGTCTCTGCTCTATCTAGTTCTTTCATGAGTTCACTTCCCTGTGTGGGTCCCTGCTCCGTCCATTTTCTTTGATGAGTTCACTTCCTCATGTGGGTCCCTGCTCCTTCCAGTTCTTTCATGAGCTCACTTCCTGTGTGGGACCCTGCTCAATCTAGTTCTTTCATGAGCTCACTTCCTGTGTGGGTCCCTGCTCCATCTAGTTCTTTCATGAGTTCACTTCCCCGTGTGGGACCCTGCTCCATCTAGTTCTTTCATGAGCTCACTTCCTCGTGTGGGACCCTGCTCTATCTAGTTCTTTCATGAGCTCACTTCCCTGTGTGGGACCCTGCTCTATCTAGTTCTTTCATGAGCTCACTTCCTCGTGTGGGACCCTGCTCTATCTAGTTCTTTCGTGAGCTCACTTCCCTGTGTGGGACCCTGCTCCATCTAGTTCTTTCGTGAGCTCACTTCCCCGTGTGGGACCCTGCTCCATCTAGTTCTTTCATGAGCTCACTTCCTGTGTGGGACCCTGCTCAATCTAGTTCTTTCATGAGCTCACTTCCTGTGTGGGTCCCTGCTCCATCTAGTTCTTTCATGAGTTCACTTCCCCGTGTGGGACCCTGCTCCATCTAGTTCTTTCATGAGCTCACTTCCTCGTGTGGGACCCTGCTCTATCTAGTTCTTTCATGAGCTCACTTCCCTGTGTGGGACCCTGCTCCATCTAGTTCTTTCGTGAGCTCACTTCCCCGTGTGGGACCCTGCTCCATCTAGTTCTTTCATGAGCTCACTTCCTGTGTGGGACCCTGCTCAATCTAGTTCTTTCATGAGCTCACTTCCTGTGTGGGACCCTGCTCAATCCAGTTTTTTCATGAGTTCACTTTCCCGTGTGGGTCCTGTGGCCGTATTTTGGAGAGGAAAAAAACAAAAGAATAGACTTACTGCCCCCCCCCCCCCCCCCCACCCTCCTCCACCCACCCAACATACATGTAGTAAAATTAAACTAACTAGGCATGTTTTCTTCAAGGTCAGATTGCATCTGCCTGAGAGGCAGGAAACCAACAGTCTAGATATGAATAAGTCAGGCTGGTAAAATGGATATGCATGCAAAACTGAAGTTCTGGAACATGACCAATGTCCTGAAGTAGATGAACAAACAGAACTTTCTGCCAGAATTTACAGATAGCAAATGTTAAGAAGAAGAAGAAGATCAGTTCTCTCTATTCCATCAGGTTATTTAACCACATTTGTCCAAAAGTTTTATGAGTCAAAATCATTAGGATTTATTAGTTTCAAGTAGCAATGACTTGTATAACATCAGTTAAACTAACTCTCTAGAACTAAAAGAGAAAAGCATAAATATTATGCAGGCCCTCCTAGAAATCTACCTTCTTAAAGTAAGCAAACAAAAACTATCGGTGAGTAATAGTTTATGAATCAAAATTTATTCTATGTCTTTCAGAGCAGGAAAGACAGATGATGTTAATACGACACACTGAAGCTGGAAAGTGAAAATATATTTTTTTTTCTAAAGAGAGAAAATCTGTGTAAACATTCCCACAACAAACCAAAATTTAGATATCAAAAAAACTTTAAAATTAAAATATATCCAAAAAATACAAACGATTTTAATGAGTTGGATAAACCTGTTGCACTGTTACTAATTCAACACAGTCCTGTTTTTTTTATTTTTTAATTCTGTGATTCCAAGTGCACCCAAGGCTACTACCGCCCCCTTGATTTCTCCCACCTCTGCCCTGAGGATAGTATTACCAACTCTAGGAAATTGTGCTTGATAATTAGTGGCAAAGTAACAAGTTTTAAAAACAGCAATTTATTATTTCTGAACCGAGTACCCACGTGTCATTAATAGATCAACATCCAGTTAATCTTCTTTTTATTGATGAATTTTCACTTATAAGGATAAAGACAAAAAATATCGTAAATCACTTTTGAAGTAGTAGTAGTAGCGGCAGCAGCAGCAGTAGTAGGAGCAGCAGCAGCAGCTGCAGCAGCAGTAGTAGAAGTATTAGTAGGAGCAGTAGCAGCAGCAGTAGTAGCAGGTGCAGCAGCAGTAGAAGCAGCAGCAGCAGCAGTAGTAGGAGCAGCAGCAGTAGCAGGAGCAGCAGTAGTAGTAGTAGTAGTAGTAGTAGTAGTAGTAGTAGTAGTAGTAGTAGTAGTAGTAGTAGTAGTAGTAGTAGTAGTAGTAGTAGTAGTAGTAGGAGCAGGAGCAGGAGCAGCAGCAGTAGTAGTAGCAGCAGCAGCAGTAGAAGTAGCAGGAGCAGCAGCAGCAGCAGTAGTAGTAGTAGAAGTATTAGTAGGAGCAGCAGCAGTAGTGGTAGCAGGAGCAGCAGCAGCAGCAGTAGTAGGAGCAGGAGCAGCAGGAGTATGGAAACTTCAGTACGTTTCTATGCTATATTGTAATGAATGGTAGTCTATCTGCTGACTTACCGATACAAGGACATAGATGTTTAAAGTCAGATATGTGTGTGTAATAAAGCTCATACCTTGATTTAACTTAAAGCCATGACTTCTGTTACAAAGGAAATTGTTTTATGTCAGATTTGTATGTAATAAATCTCCTACCCAAACAAAAATTAAAGAATTGTTTTCTATTACACAGGAAAAGATAGTTTAAGTCAGATGGGTGCACAATGAAACTTATAACCTAAATTAACTACAAGCCTTTTCCTCTATTAATCAGGAAACAGATGTTTTAAGTCAGATATGTGTGTAATGGAGCTCCTACCCTAAATTAACTACAAGCCTTTTCCTCTATTCCCCGCAGATTAAAATGTAGTTTTGGGAGCTAAAGTAATGCTATGATTAGTGTCACACGACCAGACCAAACATCCCTCTGCTAGTGAGTTGGTAGGTAACCAACTTTTATGTTTTACCTTTTTTTATGTGGTCCGCTTTTACAACAGCCACTAGAGCTCTTTAACCTTTGTGTTAGCATTAAATAATTTCATTCATTATATTAGATAAAGTTCTAGTGTTTTATTTTTGAGGTTCATTAAAGTTTAATTTTAATCTATTTTGTATTGATCATATTCAGTTAACACTCACACATTGTATTTTACATGAATAGTGTTTTTATCCAGTCTGAAAAGAGGTGAGGGGTCTGGCCAAGATGTGCCCTAAAGGGTCAGTGGAGCCTTAAGCATCAGTCACCTCATCCATGGAGTGGTGTTGGATGGTTTGGGACTTCAAGATATCCGCCTAAATCACCTCAGCCACTATCTCAGCAATACTGCTACTCCAGAGTATCATTCCAAACTTCAGTCATGACATCAAAGGGATTACACAGGACAGAATGGAACAGAGGAGCACACTGTGAGCCCTATGTGGCATATAACTGCAAGCAGGACAGTGATGATGATGATGATGATGATGATACAGTGAACCCTAAGGTGAATGTTGCTGGGAGAGACCAAAGCTGTTGAACTGGATTCCAGCTATTATTTCATAGGGATTGTAAAGGACAGATTGGAAGGAAGGAACAAACTGTGAGACTTATGTGATATATAATGGCACAACAGGATAATGAATGAATGAATGAATGAATGAATGAATGAATGAATGAATGAATGAATGAATGAATGAATGAATGAATGAATGAATGAATGAATGATACAGTAATACAGTATGAGACATGGTAAAAGAAAAATAATAAGTGTTCTGTTATCTCAAAGCAGATCACTACAATTATACTGACTGGGTGCCTCTTTTGAGGAAAGACAGTTATTACACTATTACATGAAGGTCCATAGTTTAATTTCTTAATAGACACCCCAATGGCCATGACATGGTACATTTAGACAAAAGGTCATTTCTGTACTTTGCTGGGATCAAGGGAGTGTCATTTAATAAATACAAAATTGTTAATGTAGGAGATCTTGAAACACATTTATTTTGGTCAAGCAAATAAAGAAAGAAAAGTAAAATACAAGCAACCTAAACATGGTTGTGTCAAAAATAGATGTTGATCTGCAGCCTAGCTAATGGTGAAAACTGCAGAAACAGCACAAAATATGATCAGAAAGCTCAATGAAGGTAAAAGAAAGACATTCACATATATAACTAATGGTTTCAACCATGAAAATATTAAAAACAGACAGGTATTTGACAAGGTGAAAGAAAAATGAAATTACTTCAGGGAGTATATTTTTTTTAATTCAATGTATCCCTATGCAGTAAATTATCTATGCCTGACTAATGCAGCAAAACATTTACCTGGAAAAGGTAAGCATCTCCACATGCAGTACTCAAGGAAAATATGTTCTCTCTCTTTGGATGCTCTGGCACTGCCTGACTTATGGCTCCTTCAATTACTGCAACAAACAATAAACGCATATCATCATTGTTGGTATTGACTATCTTGCTGACTAATGTGAGTGATTCTGCTTCTCCATATCTTGAGATCTTATCATTTCATGTGTGAAAAACTATCCATAACAGAACAAAAGGGTGTCAATAATTGTTCTGTCATTAATTGTAATCATCTCCCCCTCGGACTCAGAAGACAGCGAGCTAAAATTCCGGCACAGTTCTAGATATTTTTAAAAGGAACATTAGTGTTTAATGCCTAGAAAAAAATCAACTTAATTTAACTCATAAACTTCTTCTGCCTTGTATCTCTTTACAGAACACAGATAATCAACAAACTCAAACCACCTTCCTTGCAGAATTGTTTCTGAGTGACAAAATTGTGCAGCTAATTTTCTATGAGATAAAGCAGCCAGGTTCACAGCTCTGCCTAGTAAGGTCTTGTCATTTGCATGGTAAGCTAAAGTGTTATTCTTTCATTCCCTTATGAGGCCCAGTGAGATTACAGGCAACCACAATAACTACCAGCTTTGGAGAAGAAAATATCTGATGGTGAATTTCCTGCATTTACAATTCAAAAGCACAGATCTTCTTTCTTCCATTTTGCCACCACCCTACAAGCTGCTATCTGAAAGTCTGATATTACAAAGTCTCAATATGGATGACAGATCAACAGGGCAAATCACTGATAACTCCTTTCAACTTCCAAAGAAGTTAAATCCATTAGGGCTTCATCAGCTCAGTGTTAATCTATAGTCCAGTGCAGGTAAGGACACATCTAATTAATACCACAGAATTACTATGATTTCAACTGTAGCTTATCAAATTTAACCAAAAGCAAAGTAAAGGTACCTTTTCCATGCCTTTAGGCGTATTGGGAACATAGAGCTACACCTATATTTTTAATAGACCAATCAGCACTTGGTGGGTGTGGTGAGCATCACGCCAGCCACCTTTACTTCCCAGGACTGCACCTAGCACCCACTCAAGGCTGGGAGTCAAGGTCATTTTTGAAAAACAGTTCGGCTCCGTCAGGACGCGAACCCACGACCTTCCGATCCACAGGTGGGCATCCAGCTGCCAACGCCACAGTGACTCTCAAATTTAACCAATATTTCTCATCATATTAACAAATCTTTGCAGAGTTATGCTCATTTTCTTATGACCTTTTGCAACAGCATACAGTTTGTTATTAACCATGCCTTATAATAATAGGTTAAGAAAATATTATTACTCACCAAGTATATGTCTGGGTACTGTGTGTGCTGTGACAGTACTTTCATCATCACAATCAAAAAACAACAGTGTTGTCCCTTTGAGACACACCCAGTACTTCTTCCAAGCTCTGTGAGGTGCCAGCTCAATCTTCTTCTTTTTGTGGAGTAACCAGTTTTCACCACCAGCCATCTTCAACAGACACAAATCAGTGTATAAGGAGCAATATAGTAATTTTATTTAGACATCCATATTTTGTTATTGGCTTCTGTGGCGTAGATATTGCAAACACGTTTTATAATTTCAGTGTGTCAGGTTCTGTTCCATCTAGAGGTGGTTTGGCAGCAGACCACCTTGCACTGGCTTCAACAATGGCATTGAGAGCTTACCATTCCAAATGCGGTGACAAGCTACTGAATGGAACAATGCTTTGCAGAAACCACTAACACCCAGAACTATTCTGGGGTTGGAGTTCTGCAATGCCCTGTAAAGGATATACAGGTAACTTTTATACTGTCCCTGTAAGCTATTTCATGTCTTCCCTGTGTGTGTATACCACATTACAGAGAGGTGTAGGACAAGGTGTGTGCAGAGTGGCAAGCATTACTTCTGAGGTCCCAGTATTTAGCATCCTTTGGATATTTTCTCCAGGGAATGCTGACGTGTTAGGAAACAAGCAGGCAGATAGACTGGCTGGTTCTGTACCACTGGTGGTGAGCTGATATGTGACAAGCTAGATGTTGTGAGGGCCCTTTGGGAGAGAGTGAGTGGTGCAAAGGCATAAACAGATCATTATTGTCTGAAGAGAATGGCGCTGTGGGGAGTTACCAGGGGATCTGGCTGATGCTCAACACTCAAGGAAAAAGCGAGATGAATATTCAATCAGACAGTTACTGGTACCATCAGAACTGGAACTCGTCGTCTGCTGCTGAAGACAGTGATGGAGAGCATATGGGAGTATCCCAAGTGCTATGATGTCAAACGATTAATTCAACATTCAACATTGGTAGGACAGGGTGGTATGTGTACCATTACATTCAGAGCTGCATGGCTAGTGCAGCTGCCACAAACTGTACTACTCAGGATTTGTATTTTTGAGGATTAGGGCCTCCCAAATAAGGGCTCAGCATTCTAACCATTCAGCTAGCCCCTCCTCTACATCATCAAATACGTTACCAAAAAAATAAAAAAAATAAACAGCTTACATCTTAGACTTCAGTTTTGCTTATGATTCATCAATGGTATATGAACTATATGTATTGTTTGTGGCCACATTTTTCAGCTGCAGAAAGTGACTACTTTCTAAACTGGCAGAAACCCAGATTTGGAACTTTGTTTTGCAGACAACAGTTCTTCTTTTGAATAGTGCAAAGATAATAGAAGAATTAATCATATGTGCCCCCCCCCCCCCCCCCCCCCCCCCCAAAAAAAAAAAGGTAAAGATCAAAACTTGTTCCTGAATTTTTTTTAAACAAGGCCAACAGACAAAAACTGTCTGTCACCCAGATAATAATAATAAATATTAAAGAAATTGAAAGCTTTTAAAATCTAGGCTTCATAATAAAGAACAACTGGGACTGTTCAACAGAAGTCACAAAGAGGATGGCCATAGCAATGCAAAGTCAAATTTTTGAGGGCATGTATTGTCCCTTTAGCAATGCAGATGTGAGTCATGGACTATCTCCCAATCAATAAGGAAAGGGGGGGGGGGGTGGGGGGGAATAGGGCTTTCGAGCTGAAATACTATAGAAAGATTCTTATCACAATACCATGGACAAGGAAGAAAAGAAATATTAACTTACTGAAAGATCTGATCATCAAGGAAGATTGGTTTAGTAAACAGCATCGTTCCTCAGAAATTAACAGAGACGTTTTATATCAGCACCTGATCCTGACAGTGGTGGATTATGGCCTGGGACTGCTTACCGTCTCAAAGAGTCAGATGGAAAAACTAGAGCGCATACAGAACGCGGCTATGCGGGTCATTCTGGGTTGCACCAGAGACACCCCAGTGGTGTGTATGCGATACATCCTTGGTTTGCCGACGGTTGCAGGTAGGCACAAGGTGCTGCAGGCGAAGTCAGGGTAGCTGCAGACACAGACCACCCTCTGCTTGAAGCTCTGGGTGCAGTTAAGGGTCAGCGGCTGATAAGAGGGAGGTCATGGATGGCTCAGGCAGAAGACACAATCAGACAGGTTTGCATCCTTGAGAACATTAGGCGAGGAGAGGAGTGGGTCAAAGTGCCACCTGAGCAGTCAGACTTGTGTAAGTGTCATAATAACGCTGAGCCGGGAATGCAGAGACTGGCCAGCAGGTGCCAGCAATTAATTCAAGATAATGCTCGCTCAGAGGATCTTATCATTTACACAGACGGTTCAGTGTCAAGAGGCAAAAGAAGTGCTTGGGGCTTCTTAGCAAAAGTTAATGGTCGACGTTTAGTGCAGGAGAGCCTAGCATATGATACTACAACATCCAGCTTAAGAATGGAGGTGGGGGCGGTCACTGCAGCTTTCCGCTGGCTAGAGAACACGACAAACACACACATCGTGATTGTAACTGATTCAGAAAGCATGCTGAGGAAGATCAGAACAGGTATGCTTCGTGCAGAGTGGCATGCTTCGCTGCGGAGGACACGAGTGAGGAGTATTGTCCGGATTTTTTCACCGGGTCACGCCGGTGTGTTGGGAAATGAACAGGCGACTAACTAACACACTGACTAGGATTCATGTAATTCGCTGACTGAATCCAAGAATCAACAAACATGTATCTTACATTTACTCGTATTTTCCCATTAAAAGTGAGAATGAACTGATTCACTGATGTTGTTTCCCATCATCATCGTTATCTTTATCATCACCATCATTATCATGATGTGTCCTTATGCTTTACATACAGCTTGCAGTTTAATATTCATTTCATTCTATGCTGTACAATTATTTCTATATTATGGATGGAATCCAGCACCAGTAACTTTGACCTCTCTCAGCACTGTAATTTTCAGGGTTTCTCTTGAATTTCTTCATTTCCTCACTCTATTTGTGTTCTCTTTGAGTGTTTGGTGTTTCTCTGTTCACTTCTCCTCAGGATTTGCCCAGTATATCACAATCTTATTTGTCTTATAATTGCTGATACCAGTGTCTGTCCAGATATTTGGCTTATCTCTTTGTCTTTCTTGAATTCATTCAATTTAATCTTCACATTTTCCCCCAGGCATTTTGTTTTAAAATGCCTTTAACTTTCATTCCAGTTTTTCCTGATGTGGATTTCAGAACCCCATTCAGGGGTAAAAAAGAATAGCCCACTGCCTCCCTTTTAAGCATGTCTTACATGTCATACAAGGCGACTAAATAGGGGAGCGTCTTTTGAAGTCAGGTGCATCTGCCTTAGAGGCAAGGAACAACAGTCTGCACATAAAGAAGCCAGATCTGTAAAACTGATGTGCACATGAAACACAAGTTCTGCAACAAGATCAAATCCAGAAATGGATGAACAACCAAAAGTTTCATCTGGAGTTTACAGCCAGTGAACGTTAGGAATAAGATTTCATGTTTTTGGTGGTGCTGTCTCAATTATTGTGCTAAACAATTATTGTCTTGATCTTCTTTAATAAGGCTGATTATATTGCAAGTACTGCCACAGAGGTGTGAGGTTTGAAGCTAACACATGTGACAGGATACTAAGATACGAGCAGGCAGGATATGAATGATACAGGTATTAAGATGGATTCATGGAAACCAAATGTTATGGACTGTGTTGCATGGAAAAGGTGGGCGGCGGCGGTGGGGGGAGAGAGAGGGCGGGGTGGGGGGGGGGGGTGGGAATAAAGGAGAAAAAATTGACAGGTTAAGAGCTCAGCAACTGAGAGGAAGCACATTAAATGCATGTTACTCCCGTGTGGGTTCCGGGGCCCCATTGTGGGGAAAACAAGAATAGACCCACTGCCTCCCCAAAAGCATGTCGTAAGAGTCGACTAATTGGGGAGCTTCCTTTGAAGTCGGAGTGCATCTGCTGGAGAGGCAAGGAACCAACAGTCAGTATTCAAGAGAATGAGATCTGTAAAACTGATGCACACGCAACACTCAGGTTCTGGAGCAGGACTGCAGTTCAGTAGTGGACGAGCAACTAGAACTTTCTGCCAGAGTGTACAGCTGGTGAACGCGAAGAAGAAGAAGAATACATGTTATTGTTATGGCAGAAAAAGTCCTGAAGCCCCATGTTCTAATTGTGGAATACTTTTCTTAATGTGAGCAGGCATTGCCAGTCACAGTCTCCATCACAATGGGCTGTGTTTCTCATGCTTCCCTATGGTAAATAAAAAAATTTTTAAAAACTACTGTCTGGAAAGACAGAAAGGTGCCAACAATGATAGGATATAACCAAGTGACAAACACTGTTGTCAACCTTTTTCTAAAAACTACCAAAATATGTTTCTTATTTTACTAGAGTAAACTGACTCAAGAACTACATCTACTCCTCAACCTTCTATTTTTTCTTCTTCTTTGTGACTTTTCTTACTTTTCTTTTCCTAACAGATCTAATCCTTCTCATCTCTGTTCCTCCTCCTCCATCTTTTCATCCTCTGCCTCTTCCACCTATTTCTCTTTTTCCTCTTCTTTCTCCTCATATTCTTTGCATCTTTGTTGGAATGGGAGGGTATTTTAAGTCTGATTTGATATTGTGGGCTTATTTGTTACTAAAAGTAACTTTGATTAAAAATGATTGTTGATTACTTTTTCTTCTTTTTCTTCTTCTTTGTCTTCTCCTTCTTCTTCTTCTTTGATCCTTTTTTCAGAAAACATATCAGTAGCCTTTATAAAAGCTAGATGTAGCCTTTATGATAGCTATCTTGCAGTCCAAATCTCCTTGTGTACCATAAAACTTTATCTTCATTAAGATTGGAACAGGTCAGACCAAGTCTCTGCATACAATTGACTATGTTGGAGCACACGATCAGCATTTTCTGGTTCAAGTTGCAGGGATACATCTTGTGTTTCCTACATTGAACAATATGAACACATGTTGGCTAAACTAAGTCTGTTGTGTACTGTTCTTAGTCTGAATATAACACACTGTCCCTCTTTATGTTTGTTTGAGTATCCAGAAGCCTTGAGTTGTTAACCCTTAGGCTCGGTATTATGGATATCGCAACCTTTCGGCCTTGATTCCATTGTAAATACCGTAAATCTGGGAGAAAATGTGGCTTTCCTGCCTACCCCCGGGATTGAACCCGGTCCACAAGGAGTACGTCACCCGGTCTCCGCGAAATCCGGTTTAGCCAATTCCGCTAGAGAGCCGGTGTCCCTCTTTATAGAGAGGATGAAGTAAGCCTTGAAGAGAGAATTTGGTGTGTTTATCCAGCCAACTAACTTGAATACAATACTGTATTAAAATCATAGTCTCTTGGATTGATTACTGATTCCAGAAATGCATCATTACATACCGGGCATACCTATGGATACCACATTAGACAGCTAAATTAAGAATTGACATCACAGCACTTGGGACACTCCCATAAGTGCTCCATCCCCATCTTCAGTAGCAAGCAGAGAGTTTCAATTCCAATGGCACATTTTGTGGATTAGAATAAAACAATCAACGCAACACCTGCTTAGTACAGATATATTAAATACTCACCCAGCTTTCCTGATAGCTCCAACTTGTTGGACATATGACATCTGTGATTCGGTGTCCATCATAGTGTCTATGCTCTCATTACTTGCTTCTTCATCATCATCTGACAGCTGGGAAATACAAGACACAGCTTATATGAATCTAATTAGAGCACATTCCAGCGTTTGTAATTAAGACTATATGTTGCAAACATTTTTTAAAAATTATTATTAACTATGACATGATGTACAAATGAATAACTATGTTACCCATGTGGGTTCCTTGGCCCCATTATAGGGAAAACAAGAATAGACCCACTGCCTACCCAAAATCATGTCGTAAGAGTCGACTAATTGGGAGCTTCCTTCAAAGTCGGAGTGCATCTGTCTGAGAGGCAAGGAACCAGCAGTCTGCATACAAATGAGTCAGATCTGTAAAATGGATGCACACGCAACACTCAGGTTCTGGAACAGGAATGCAGTCCAGAAGTGGACGAACAATCAGAACTTTCCGCCGGAGTTTACAGCTGGGGCTTGCATGCCTAGTTCTTAACACTGAAAATAACATTTGTTTGTTTGTTCGTCTTAGCAGAAAGTTGCACTCACCACAGCCCACTGGTCTCTGTGGTGGTTTCAGAACCCTATTTAAAAGACTTATTGCCTTGAAAGAATGTTGTAAAAGATCCTTAAGAATCTGCTGGAATTAGACTTGTTGGGGTGAAAAGCACAGAATGCAGCAATCTATCTACAAATTACAATGCAATGTGCTAACTGCTCTTTTAAGGGAAAACGCAAAAGACAAAAGACAGTCCACTAGAAAGAATTGTTCATTTGCTAGTTTTCCTGCCTCAGCATTTTAACTGTTTAAGTTTTTCTTTTTCAAGCAACAAACCCTCAGGTGATAAATTACTGTTGCATGTCATCACCATTGTCAAGTGGTTTGCAGACTGCCAGGGGTGAGCAGGCCTCTCCCTTTCTTGTAATTTCCAATAGCCATATATCAGTTCATGTGCTTCTTTTTTTTTTTTTCTGAGGCCCCATTAGTGGTAGGGGTGGGAGAGGAGGGTGGGGTTGGAGAGAAGCGACCCACTTCTTTTTAACAAGAAGGTTGTAAAAGGTAAGTAACTAATCAAGTGTTGCTGGGCTAAAAGGCGCAAATACTGAAGCTGAGCTGTAAACCATCACACAGTTCCCCAACTGTTTTTTATGGGTCAATGCAGAAGAACTTCAGATTCTCCTGCTGTCACCACCCATTCCATGACAAAAGGCTATCAAGAACCGCACAAAAGGCTATCAAGAACTATTAAGAACACAAAAGGCTATCAAGAACCGCACAAAAGGCTCTCACAACAACTATATTGTCATACATCAATTCAGCACAAAGTAGTGCAGAATCTACCAATCTATTTGCCTGCTCGTAACCCAACACACCAGTATCATCATCATCATGTAGCAGGTCATTTGCAGAATGTCGCTCTCATCACAGTTTGCCTGAAAGAAACTCGATCTCACCAGCTCTCCCACCTCATGCACTTTCACACTCAAGAAGTCACTTATATCCTGTGCCCATCTTTGTGTCGGTCGGCCCCTGCCCCTCCTTCCTGGTACTATGCCTTCTGCTATAATTAGTTTCCAATCCGTTGTGGCACTTGATATGACCAAAATATTTCAGCTTTCAGACAGAATGCTGTTTATTAGCCAATCTTCGTTGATTTTCAGATCTTTCAAGATGTCAGTATTTCTCCTCTTCTGTTTCCAAGATATTTTGAGAATCTTTCTATAGCATTTCAGCTCAAAAGCCCCTATTCTACACACCAGCATACCTGGAGAAAATATCCAAAGGACGCTAACTACACGGGACCTCTGAAGCCTGCCACTGTGTACAGCTGATTTTCACTCTAGCAGAAGGCAGCAGCGACTGCCTCCACCTCCATTCTCAAACTAGACATCGTGAAATCATGTCTTCATGTTTATGTTTCTGTCACAGCATACTAGCGAAAAGTGCCTGTTTATGTTAGTTCAGAACACACTAATGATGTTTTATATACTGTCTTTTTTTATTGAAGTAACATATAATTATTATAATGCTTCTTACACGCCTCTCTGATAGACCCAGCTAAAGTGTTCTAATGGATGTGTTGGGGTTCTAGTGGGACAATGATGCGCAATACTTTTAATGACTAATAGCCTCTTTTGCTTAAGCTACCTCAGTGTCTCGTCACGGACCGTGGTCTTCCTGGTAAATCCAGTGGAAGGTTTGGGTTTCAACCCGTCGGAAACGAGGTAAACAAACGAGGTAAAGGGATGAGCCCATTTTTCCTAGGAAGAAACCCTCAATTTGGTAATACTCAGCTAGAAGGCAGATCAAGAAGAACCAGGCTTCCACAACGTTCACTATGGATAAATATCAGGCTTCATCCGAGTAGTTCATCACTGTGTCCATGTGGGCTGTGTTTATGAAATGCATAAAATATTAGGCTGCCCCTTCTACAGAGAAATAGTAACAAGAAGGTTCATAAGCACTACTTACTAAAATATAGGGGAGGAAGAACATCAAAGAAAGGAGTGGGTCTTCTGGTACGCCCGGACATAGCATACAGATAACCACATACTGGACATCAATTATGGGCATCGGAAAGGGCTTTTTACATGCCAGTAGTACATATGGCATATAAGGCTAGACTCAAATTTTGATAGATGGGTGATGTCAACAGCCTACCGGTCTCTTTTACTTCCCCGGATTTGACATTTTGCCCATTTAAGGCTGGGTCGACCTGGGAGCCAAGGCTATGTTTGGAGAGAAAAATCCGGCACCATGTGGAGTTAAACCCACGATCTTCGGATCCGCAGGTGAGCTTCTAGCTACAGGATCAATTATCACTGAGACATAATTATACTGTTACAAATTAAAAGAGAAGAACAAACAGAAACGTAAACACAATTAAATGTGCCAGACAACGATAATTATACAGAAAAACAAAAGAAACAAATTCTTTAATGACATGTTTGAAGAGACAGTGAAAGAGGAAGTAAACAGCATACTGTATATAATGGGAGACTTCAATTGGTATGTGGGCAATGACAGAAGAGAACATGAACACCGCCAAGAACTGTGAAAGAAAGAGAAATGACCAAAGAGTAAAATCTCACACTGAAGCTCAAAAAACAAAACAAAAATAACAATTATCACCTATAGTGGGCTATACTGAGGATGAATAAAGTGAATATTAAACCATTTTGCTTAGCACTGCAGAAGAACTGGGTGGAAACCAGAAGAGAGGAAACAGGCCGAATTAAAACAAATACCTATCCTCTTTGTGTGAAGAATTAAAAGAAGCCGTTAAAAAAAAATTATTTGAGGAGAATGACGCTACGATGGATTACCAGGGGGTCTAGCAGACGCTCGACACTTAAAGGTGAGGCTAGACGGATATACAATCAGACAGTTTCTGGTGCCTTCAGAACTGTAACTCTTCGCTTGCTGCTGAAGATGGGAACAGAGCGCTTATACGAGTGTCACGATTGTTACGTTGTCGATTCTTAATTGAACATGCAACACAATTCAACATTATTCTCCGCTGAGCATCTAGTAATATTTTTTGTTGAATTTAGTATCCAAAGCGTTCGTGTTCTGGTGTTTAGTTTTACAATGCATTTTTTTTTTTTACGTATAGTAATAATTTTCCACTACTCGTGAAGGGTTCCACGTTTATGCTATTGCTAAAATAAACGCAAAGCAGCATTCTACCAAATCGAATACAGCTGATTTCTAACAGTAGTTACTCAAATCTATTGAGGGCGTTCATTTGAAACGCATCTAAGCCGCATCGCGCCTAATTGCGCGCTTAACATAATCAGTCACAGTCACAGGATAAGTACTAACCAATGAATAAAACAGCACAAGAGTGGGTTCTGTATCTGACTTGAGAAAATGGCCGGATTGATCCCAAGTCTATCCAAAAAAAAGCTCAAAGAGCCGTAATTCGGTTTCTTTCATTTGAAGGATTTTGTCGCGTGCAGATGGCGCACTAAAAGACACCAATATTTACTAGGCAAGTAAGGCGTCATAAGGCTTACGTATGGTTGTTAGGTGACTGTGTGTGGAAGAGTTGCGGTCGAGAAGTTCAGGAAGGAGGACGTGTGATCCCAGATGATGAATTTTACCCTGGGATCTCACCATGAATATCAGCTTCAAGGCGGGGCCTTAAAGAGGCAAGTTATGCCTACAAGGATCAGCACTCAAGAAGTCAAAGAAGGCGGACGTTTATGTCCTAGTGTGGCACATCCTAAGGGACGATTTACACAGAGAAATCAGCTGGTACGCTGGGGGCGTAACTGCCCTATCCGCGTGATGCAGAATTATTAAAAATATCGAATACGGATGCTATGGCTCAGCGTGACTGATGGACAATTTTGAAGTAATGACGTAGTCGTGTTTATCAGTATTAGGCTGCATACTGAGTTGTTGGAGAAACCATTAATGTTTCAAGGTCGAGATGCTGACCTATAGTGATTGATGGCTAATGTCATACCTGAACCCGGGGTTAAAAATGCGTCTATGCGAGTGTGCGAAACGCTAGTGAGTTACGTTTATTGCTTGGGTGAGTCGTTTTGCCAACTATCATATATTTCACACACTTTCATTCAACTCTGTTAGTTCGTCAATACACCAGTGTACTAGGAACCTCATAGCCTTCTCGATTAGACCAACACTGAGGTTCCTTGAAGTTGTTCGTCGCATTATTGTTGTATTGCTCAGTTACCCAGTGGCATCAGGTTTCAGGTTGGGCTCGAGGCCCTCCGCACCGTTTACTGCGAAAATCATACCTTAAGAGTGTACACCCCTAGACTTGGTTGTTGCATTGTTATATTGACATTCAAGTTACTTTGACATGTTGCCTTGATTATGAAGTTGTACGCTTCGTCGTTTTGGTTGTACTCACACACTCGCCCTACGTCACAATGAGTAAAGACTATCCAGTCTTAGTCTTCATCTAGCCATTACATCAGCGCCGGCACGCCACAGATGTCGAGCGGTGGACATTCAGCGAAGAATGCAACATTCAGCGAAGAATGCAGACAGCAAACAGCAAGTAGTGTGTGGCGAAGACAACAGTGACAGACTGGGCACGAATGTTTCGGAAGGACATGAGTTCACAACAGATCTTCCACGGCCGGGACAAACTCATATTGTTGCAACAGACAACAAGATATCACCTAAATTGTTGCAGTAATACAGGTGAACCGTTGTCTGAGCAGACGACCGCTAACGAAAGAACTAGATGTGTCAATTGAGACAGTTCAAAAGGTTGCTCAAAATACATTGCAATGTGGGAAGATGAATTCACAACGAGTACCACGGATGTTGACCGACCACCAAGAGGAAGAACGCTTGGTTCAGTGAGCAAGCACAAAACTGTTTATGCGGACAGCATTCACCGCCTACCTAAGCAACTGGATGCTTACCTGAATGCCAAAGGCGACCTTTTAACCAAAGGTGTAACAATCATTCAGAACGAATGCTCATTTATTTCTGTTAGATTTGTTGGCGTTTCTTTCATGCTTTTATACTAAAGCAGCTGGAAAGACCTTCAAATGAGTACTTACTATAATAAGAAATAGTTTTAGCCATCTATACTAGCAGTGTAAAACACTGGAATCTTACTACAAGTAATGAGCGCAAAATCATGTCAACAGAGATGAGAAGTGTTAGAATGGCTGCCCTACAAGCGAAAAAAAAATGGAGAGATTTGAAAAAGACTAAACCAGACATTAAAAATTGTTTTTTAAGCCACGGTTACGATGGCTTGACCACGTGGCCAGAATGCACTGGTACCACATGCCTCGGAGAGCAAAGCTACAGAAACAGAAAAAAAACATAGCCAGTAAAAGACCGTGCACAAAAAGACAACATCGAGAACAGCCTAAACGAAATGAAGATAAACGTACACGACGCATACAAAAGAGTACACAGAAGTTCCATACATCTCCCCCACCTCCCACCCCCGCTCTTATATGAGAAGAAGATGTTTGAAATATCCGGTTCAAAACTGTATGTTTCGTGGTGTGGCGGCTAAAGCTTACCTGCGGATCGAAAGGTCGTGGGGTCTTGTCCTTCTGATAGAACCGGCTTTTTGTTTCTTTAAAAAAAATAGTTTTAGCTCCCTTGAATGTTTATCAGGTAAAGTCCTAGAAGTAAATGCGGCCGGTGTGCTGTTGGCCACGTCACCCACCGAATGCCCGACTGGTCTATAAAATATAGGTCTAGCCCTATATGCCCGAAACGCTCGAAGGCGTGGAAAAAGTCCTTTCACTTTTTTTTCACCAGATTCACAAATCCACTTATGCCTGACGAAAGCCACCACTGCCTCCATTGAAACACGCACACAACACTGTCAATATACAGTGCCTTTACGTGAGGAAAGGAGGTGGGAAGGGGTGTGGGGTTACTTCGCACCTCCCAATACTCACTGCTGACATTGCGATCTCTCTCTCTCTCTCTCTCTCTCTCTCTCTCTCTCTCTCTCTCTCTCTCTCTCTCACACACACACACACACACACACACACACACACTCATACACACCCACCCCCACACAAGTAAATAGTGCACGACAATGTTGCTAAATTTTTGTAAAATATGGAAATTCAATTAATGATAACGTAAATTGTTTCTGACAGGATCGGCAGACGCTCGCCAACGCGAAAATGAAAACAGGACGTTAACTCTTTTAATCCCCTGTAGTTATTACTTTTTATTTCAACTTCACGCATTTACTGTTTCTTCTGTGCAGGTAAAAGGTATGGGGTACGTCTTCGAGCATGATCACTTGGGTCCGCATGGTTGGTGCTGTCGCCAAGGACTGTGCAAACAAGGATTTTATTTTTGCTCCCACAAAAGAAAAGAAAAATTCCAACTGTACCGAGGATTTGAACCTGGGCTTCTCGCACCCAAAAAAAGTGTGATTTTGAAAGCAATATTTATTACTGAGGGTGTTTAACAGAGGCACAAATGAGCAGAAGTTGTTAAAAGAAGTTAAAGCCGAACTAATGTCGACAGGATCGACTTTGCTGTCTCTGGTTCCCCCATATGACTCGGTCTCTCTCTGCGGGACGGTTAGCCGCCTATCGAGAACTTCACACAAAGAACGAACTCTGTAGCTCAAGTGAGGAACCATGGACAATTTAAAAACTGCACTGGTGAGCTAAAACGAATCCATGACCTTCAGAGCAGGATCCGAGAAAACGGCATGATTACTTTGTGAAGGCGACCCTCAGTAAGTTAAAGTAATAACTGAGATACATAGGGTGAATATAACATACATCTGGGGAAGAAGACAGCAACTACATTATGTTATATTGGAGTTAACAAAATAGATATGGCGGGTTGGTTGAAACTAAAATGGTTTAAAGGCACAATGTTTAGTAAAATACATGGTATTTTTCAAGTCTTAGTACACTTTGTATGCAGAATACATCTGGGAAACAAAGTACACGACGTCATCCAAAAATGTGCTTCACAGTCAAACGTGAAGCAATATGCAATGAATGACTGTTGTCTGCTGTAGTGATTCAATGCACTCAGAACAGAATGGTGTTATCAATTGGAACAATCAAAATTACCATTCAAGAAATAAAAACAGACACTTTGCTGAATGTATTTGACAATATAAAGAGGTGTGTATAGTCATGTCGTGGACATTTCCAACACCAGTTATAATGAATATGTTATTGGTATATTCCTGCTTCCCCAATACAGTGTTAGACCATGATAGTAACTTTTATAACTGACTTTTAGGTACATTTTTTAAAATGACGTTGTGTACTTTGGTTTTCCAAATTTCTTTTGCATATAAAGTGTAGTGAAACATGAGGTAGGGGACTTAAACAAGTTGAAACAACGGGTAGAACTTACGTTAGGGGACAAGTACTGTTTAATCTCCGACCCTTCACCTATCTCTCTGATGATGTCACTGTGCTCGCTGGCCCGGCTTCCGCTGCTGGTCTCATAGGAACTGGATTTCAGCTCATGGCTGAAGAGCTTACCTGTGGAAAAAAAAAAAAGACAATAACTGGTTAAAATGCATAGGGGGATATGGACTATTTCATCAAGAAACAAAAGGCTGCAGAGAACACTGGCAATCTTTATAAGGTATGAGAGAGAAAGAGAGAGAGAGAATGAGAGAGAGAGAGAGACATACAGACAGACAGAGAGAGAGACAGAGAGAGACACAGAGAGAGAGAGAGAAGCGCAAGACAAAAAGCAGACAGACAGGGAATATAAAGGCGACCAGCTTGGTGTTGACCTCATCACCCATTGACTGGTGTACACAAATATAGGTCTAAAATATATACCCGATGTGTTAACGGTGTGAAAATGGACCTTATTATCAGGTGTGAAAAGAACTATTTGTTTCACAAATCCGTACAGTTCTTTAATAATTTCTATCTCTATTTTCTCTCATAAAGACAACTGCATATTCCTTAAGAGCGTTGCAAATCGACCCCGGCGTTGCTTCCTGATTGTGGTTTTACTAGGCAATGTTACACTTAGTAGTTTGCCTTTGCTATTGAAAGTTTGGAGCTGCCTACCCTTGTGAAACATCAACACAAAATGGTATGCTGCTACCATGCCTGCACCTGAATCGAACAAGATATTTCGGAATTAGATATCCCGTTTTTAACCCCAAAGCCATAGACGCCAACTTTATTTTTCATAGAAATTTGCTTATGTGGTTTTTTCACAGTTCTATTCCACTAACTTTATTCAGGGGTCAACATTTTGAAAATCTGGACATCATGGACCAAAGGGTCGAGATCCCGCATAGAGAGATCCACGTCCATCTTTAGACTATAAATAAAAGGGCGTGGAAAGATCATTAATGAAATACAATTAGAAATGATTCGTGGGCCAATTGCTGGGACTCCGCGGGTCAGATTTGGCCCCGGGTCGCCAGTTGAATAGCCCTGGTTTATGATGTTAATTTTAAGCAATTCTTCAAATTTAACTGATTCTAGTCTTTTGAAAAAAAAAAATTATAAAACACGTTTTCAGCACACCTCTACTGCTGTGAAGATCATTTATGAGTTTAGTTAATATTTAGATTCCTAACTCGCGGTGCTTATCATGATTTCATCAGCACTAACTGTTTCCAGGCAGGCGCACAGTCAGTTCATTCGTTCGTTATTAGTTAGTTACCATCACTTCCAACTACATGGTAAACGGGTCACCCTTTAATTGGCCCTTTCCTGTGACAGGATACCTAACAAAATGCATCTCACTGTTCTTTGTGGGGTGTGAGAATTGAAACATAGAGTGCAGTACCGGAATAGCCAACAGCAGCTACACGCTCACTAAATGTGCAAGGCTGCCGCCAGAAGTGGCAAAACAAACGGTTCACTAGAATGCCAGTTCACAGTTGATGGAAATACAAAAACAAACGGTCCACTAGAATGCCAGTTCACAGTTGATGGAAATACAAAAACAAACGGTCCACTAGAATGCCAGTTTACAGTTGATGGAAATACAAAAACAAACGGTCCACTAGAATGCCAGTTCACAGTTGATGGAAATACAAAAACAAACGGTTCACTAGAATGCCAGTTCACAGTTGACGGAAATGCAAAAACAAACGGTCCACTAGAATACCAGTTCATTGTTTATGGAATCAACAGTTACAATCTGAGCTCCCCCCCCCCCCCAGCCCCCTTTTTTTCCTTTTGCCCCTCCACCCACATAGGGCCGTAGGCAACGGTACACAGCTGCACACACTGTATTTGTTTATAAATTCCATCCTTTAATTATATATGTTCTTGTACTAATATATTTCTTGTCTTTGATTTCAAACATCTCGTAATTCGTCTTTTCTCTTTAATTTAAAAAAAAAACAAATCATATAATTCACCTTTATGTCTTTAATTTTAAACATCCTGTAATTCATCTTACTTTTCTGCCTGTCAAACCACTGATTGCCCGTGCATATTGTGTATGTTTGTTTCTTTATTATAATTTAATTCAATTTTGTGACTTTGTTCGCGTCTTTAATCAGTTATGTTTATTTTTTCTTCGGTGTCTTCTTGTTCTTCTTTTTCTTCTTCAGTTAATTAGGGACTTCATTATATTCTTTTTAGTCTACTTTCTTGACCCCAACGTACCAATTTCTCCAGTCATTAAACTCTTCTTAGCTTTTAATCTTCTTTATGGCAATTTCTCTGTGCTTGTTTGATGCAGGTAATTTTTCATGCATTCTCCATTCTCCGCTTTGTAATTTAAGCCTTGCTTTGTATCTGTTTTCTTACAATAGCTATGTTTGTTTCTTTGCTCCATAACCTTTATGCTTTGACCGGTCACTCAAATGTTTGCCTTTAATCTTATTCTGGGCACTATTTATGTGCCTGTTAGATTTGTAACTCAAATTATTGCCAGGGTAGCGCTGTTAGGCCACCCTTTTCGACCGAAGAATTTTTTTTAAGGTGACCAGGGGAAATTACTAGAAGTCCACGTGGAAAAAAAAAAAAAAGATCACAGCCTTCACCGGGGCTTTAACCCAGGACCTCCAGCAAATACTGTGTAATCTCATAGCGGACGCCATGCCTCGAGACCACCCAGCCTCCCGATGTAATCAAATCAAATCAAATCAAATCAAATCAAATCAAATACGTAAACTGATAAATGTTAAAGGTTAACGTCCAGAGAACTGACTTCATTGTGCCGTGTTTTTATCTTATATTCCTCGGTCTCTCTCTCCGCAGAACGGCTAGCCATATGCTGGAAGCGTTGCAGAAAGCACGAACTCCGTAGCTCCAGCGACCATCCATGAAGGTCTCCGTAAAATTTTACTCGTGAACATTGCAGCAGAAAATCGAACCCACAACCTTAAGAGCGCAGGGCAAACGGCTTGACCACTTCGCCACCGAGACCTTTGATCTAAACTGATAAAAGAAATGAATTGATGTTTAAAAATGTGCTCCGTTATAATTCAATATCTCGACTGGAGATCAGGTGCAATGCAATGAAAGATGATTGAAGGGGGCAATAAACTAAACAAACTGCCCCAACCAATTTCACAATTTAATCTAGACACTGAAGAATATGGGCTGGCAGAAAAAAGCGTAGAATATTTGTGTGTGGAGAAGGAAGTAATTTGCTAGCAAAATCGAAATTTCCCTGGTAAACGATGGCTGAATGAATGAATGCATCAAGCAATCTAGAATTGGCATACAGTATCTGCATCGGGACATTTCAACACGTGCTTCGTCTCCTCCTTCAGTAGCCAACGAAAAAATAGTACCTGCTGTAAACTGATTAAAAGTTCGTCTGTTTTCCAGAAAATCTGCCTAACCCTCGCTGAATTATTCTGTCAATGTATGGATGTTTAGTCTGTTCTGTTGCACTATCCACTCTATCCCAATCAGCCTTTACCCTTTCCGCTTTATCACAACGCAGCTCACCACAGAGATGAGCGGTAGCTACCCGCACACTCTAATATCCTGGAAAGAAAATCCTCGATATCAATGAAGAAACTGATGAATCATATAGGGAATGAAATGACATATTTTCATTCTGAGCCTTATCGTACTTATTTTGTCCCCTTTCTCGGCAGCCAATGAAGAATTCCCACACAAGGCCTGACTGAAAGTCCCCCTTTATTTTCCTGTGCACGCTGAACCCATCCAGACCCACTACTTTCTAATCCGCTGAATCAGGCTTCTGTTGGATTGTCCACTTAATCCTAGAGAGTCTTCATCACGCCAGTCTTAAAAAAGAGTAGCTCATTGCTCAAACGAACAGCAGCAGCCCATCTATCAGTGCGATCAAAGAACGCCAGTGAGCTACTACAATGGATTTAAGATCATCAGGTAAGCTCGCTTTCTTTGAATGTCACGCTCTTTCACTTCTTCACATTTTCTGGCATCAGGCCAACTGGGATCATGGGTCCATGAATATATCTCCTGTGATGCCATTCAGTCTTTTGTCGAGATCAAACTAGGGTTTGCCGTTAATGGCAACCGTTCAATCAATGCGTGGCTACATGTGCCCACCCAAAAGCAATTATGGCTTAGGAGGACAAACTTTAATTTACAACAAACAATCTGTTACGAGCCGCAGCCAAGGTCGTATCCAGAATGCTTAAACCGGGATAAACCCTTGAAGTGCCTTGACGTGTGGTCTATCATCAGAAATAGGGACACTGTCACAGGAACTGCCAATAAATGAACTTCAGGCAAAGGGCGAAAGACAGATGAGGCAGATACTGAGGCAGATATGAACGTCGTGGTGAATAAACTGAAGCATGATGTTTTCTTAAATGGCTGGCTTTTTAGTGCTGAAGTGGAAGCAGATTTGTGTATCAAAAGACGCTACTGGCAGAGACGGTTTTAGTTTATTTGAATGGCTAAGAAGACGACGAAGACGAGGAGGAAATTAGGAAAGAAGTGGTGAAGGAGGAAGACAAAGAAGCAGAAGGAAAGAAAGTGAACAGTGAAGAAGAAGTAGTAGTAGTAGTAGTAGTAGTAGTAGTAGTAGTAGTAGTAGTAGTAGTAGTAGTAGTAGTAGTAGTAGTAGTAGTAGTAGTAGTAGTAGCAGCAGCAGCAGCATCAGCAGCAGAAGTAGTAGTATGTAGTAGTAGTAGGAGTAGTAGTAGTAGTAGTAGTAGTAGTAGTAGTAGTAGTAGTAGTAGTAGTAGTAGTAGTAGTAGTAGTAGTAGTAGTAGTATGTAGTAGTAGTAGTAGTATGTATTAGTAGTAGTAGTAGTAGTATGTAGTAGTAGTAATAGAAGAAGAGGAAGAAGAAGAAGATATGTGGTTTATTACATTTTTGATACATCTCCGCCATGCATTATCTCATTCAAATTATCAAACAAGTTAAAACTTTCTTTTTACTTGCCACGCTTTTAACTTTAGGTATGTTTAATAAAAACACTTGCCACGCTTTTAACTTTAGGTATGTTTAATAAAAACACTTGCCACGCTTTTAACTTTAGGTATGTTTAATAAAAAACACTTGCCAAAAACAATAGGCAATTCAAGCTCGGGAATTAAAAACG